ACAGCTCCTTGTTGGTTTTAAAATGGGGCAAAAAAATGCATGTCAGCAGCTGCACGGGTTAAGGGTTGTGCAAAGGGTATTTGCAAAAGAAAAGGATGGAAAATTAAAGGAAACATTTTTCCAGCAACGAAGCAAATGCGGTTTCGTCGAGTGCACAAAAGGTGCGGAAAGAAAACCAATTGGATTTTGTTGAACCAGTGGAATGATTATTCTCTGCACACGTTGCTTTGAATCTAAGCACAGATCCTTCTCTCACCTAATGCATTAACTTTTCTTGAAGCCAGATAACTTATTTAACTTAAATTCGAAGGAAAATCTGCTGGCAACACCGACAAATTCGAATCCAATTTAGGTGCGATGGGAAAAGTTTATTCAGGCAGACAAACAACTTTTAATTGTCGCCTGCAAATGAAGGTTAATGACAAACATTTAAGTTAAGACTGAAGTCTACTCACTACTTTAAATAGCCCCTTCGGTATTGGACATTAACATTTTCATTTACCACCGACCTTAGACAATCGCTGTGCTGCTTGAATTGCCAAATGGTCAACCGTTTAACGAAAAACCGAGAAATAAAAAGCAGCTATGCGGCAAAAAGTCGTTGACACTAATTAGCATTTAAAAGTGAGCAGGCCGCAACTTTTGCGCCGGCAGAAGAGTTCGAGTAGCAACGTTTTCAATTGAAGCGAACAAGTCGAGCCGTCGGACAGGCATACAATAAATAATAAGTCTGCAGATTTTGAATCGATGCGACGATGCATCTCGACGATACCATCGCGACCAGATGGAAGATGCAATTGACGCTGGCGGCAACATACACGGCATTCAACATGCAATGCCCCAACTGAAGCAACACCAAAAATGTCAAATGTAAAAACGGCGAAACCGTTCAGTCCGCTGTTAAAGAAAAGAAAAAAATAAAAAACTAAGAAAACGCAAACGGCTTTAACAGAAATCGCATTCAACAATAAAAAAAATTTGCACGCTGCCGTTTGCCTAACAAGCAGGAAGTGTTGCTGGGCAGACTGGAGATGAAAAACCGAGGGGAAAAGAGGATGGGTATGGAGATGGGGACGGGGACGGGGATGAGGATGGGGGGTGGGATGTGGATGAGGATGGGGAGACGCCGCTGGCAAAAACCGGCGACAATGGATGCAGGAAGCAACAACTGTCGTCGTCGTCGTCGCCAATTTCTACCCATCATCCGCCGCCCGCCTCCATAGAAAAAATAAACCTCCCACTTCCCAGCGATGCTCCCATGCTTTTACCCATTGCGTGAGCTTTATCTTTCAGTGTCAAGCTGAAAATATGGCATCTTTTATGCAACTCTCCTCGTACATACCACCCACTGAGGACCAAGCATTGCGAATAATGTTCAAGTCATTGAATTCGCATATCTGAAGAGATACCTAAATAAACAAATTTTCATCTGGCATATTGTGTTTGCACAAAGGCGGTAAATTTTGTTTAAAGGCCACGGCAAAGTTTTTCTTTCAATATCACATAATTCTTTTTTTTATACTAAACTTAAGTCCCTAAGTAGATGTTTAAATTAGATACTTAAAAAATATATCATTATCAATGTTAAGTACACCAAAGTAAAATTAAAGGTTATACAAGAGCACAAATAAAAAGCGGAATCCTCACTTCAGTTTTATTTACCTCATTTCGCCAAAGTTTTATAGTTCCATCAACAATATAACTTACTGAGTTAAGCACTCCAATACACTAAATTTCACCCAGTTGACTTTACTCCAATTTAAACGCTTTTTATCGTCCCCAAGGCATTGTGCCCCCCATTGACTGTTTGGCAGACTCTGTCGACCAACTGAACACCGTTGCCGTTTATTTTTAGCCGCATTGTTGAGCGTGAGATTTATCGCCAGCTGCGGTTACATTTTGGCGATCGGCGTGCTTTTGGCGCTTTTTTCCCAGCGGCATTCGGAAGTTGAATGAAAACCGTTTATGTCGGGAAAAAAATCTTGTGCTTGAAATCAGGCAAACGAAGTCATTCCTTTGGTTCCCTCTAATAATTTGTAATTTAACCAAAATTTGATACAGAGCTTAAATAATCAAATTTTCCGACAGCTGGAGACCTCAGCTAACTATCCCAACCACTTTCCATTTGATTTTTGAAAAAAAAATTTTTCTAAATTTCGGATTTTTTATAAGGTGTATGGTCAAAAAATTTCGAAAAAATTTGTAAACAATTCTTTTTCTAGGTTTTAATGCGAATGGATTGGAGATATTCTTACGAGCAAAAGATGGTACTATAGTCCATATTTTGAGCATATTTTCCCGTGTTTTTTTTTGGCCAAATAACCAATTTTTTCGAGTGTTTTGGCAACGCAAAAGTCTAGTTTTCAGCTTTTCAAGGCGACCGCTTTTTGTGCACTCGGATGTGAACTCGAACTTGGATTGCAGCTCCGATTTGCATTCGCATCCATCTGGTGACATTCGGAGGCAGCGAGGTTGCGGATTGAACAGCCACTGATTGCTCCTTGGCGGAGGGTGCTGTTGGCCAGGCTTTTTGTTCGCTTCGAATTCGGCTCTTTCGGCTTTCAATTTGATTTCGCTTCCCAGGCCAAGCAATTTATTGCAGCCGCAAGTTTGTCAATACACGAAAAATCGCTCGACGCTCGTTAGCTGAAAACAGTGTTTGCATATGGCTTTCGGTGGCTCTTGCTCCTGACTCAACTGAATCAACTTGGCCCGAAGCTGCAGTTTGGTTTTCGGTTATGCAACCACCGAGAGCGATTCAAGGTGAAATCGCAATAGGAAACACTGCTCGTCTGACAGCTGACTGCAGTTGCGTTTTAATTTTTATTATTATTATTCCTAAGAGCGCGATCATCAGCGGGTTTTAGCCAACATCCACATGCATCAAAAGGCGGAGCTGCGTTCCCCCCACCAGGTTGTAATTACTTACACCCATTCCCCAAAGTCGTTTGTCAACTGTCGTTTATGAATTGCGGTGATTCATAAGCATTCGATTTTAATTACCAGGATTGGAGAAATGCTCGCCCATTAGCTGGAAAATATGAGTAATCGAGTGGGCTTAAAACAATGTCGAATCCGTTGATGTGTCAAAAAGTGAAATACGCTTATTGAGTTTTAAGGTGAGAGGTGTCTTGGCCATTACACGGTTAATGAAATGTTCACGTCAACTACCGTATTCCACTGAAAACTTATTTGAGAGGCCACTTTACCCCCCAGAGGCTGTTTCATTTTCCAATTTGCTCCCCCCGACGGTTTTTCTCTATTCGCTTTTTATGATTGCGAATTTGTGTACCTTTATGCTTGCCATCCCCCATGTTCCTTTGAACTTTTTCTTCTGAAATAGCCGCCACAATACAATTAAAAATCGCATCGAATCGCACTGTGCTGGGCACAATAAAATTGCTGACCCGAAAATTGGCATCTAATTGAATAAGTGTAGGTTCGATTTTCGCTCTCTGTCACCTTTCTCTGCTTTGTATTCGGTTCATTGAACGTTAAGTTTGATCGATCTGCCGGACCACTTCATTAAACCTAACACAATTAGCCGTCTGAATACGAAAAGTGGAAGTGGAGTGAAATAAGTTGGCATTGATAACATTACGTGGAGAAAGAGCCTCTTAAGTCTGGCCGTTTAACACGATTTTTATTTCGTTAAAATTACGCAACATATCAATTCTTTATGTTTGTGATGGGCAAGAAAGTAATCAAAACAATAAAAGAGGACTATTTATTTGTAAACTAAATGGAACAATTTGACCTTTTGTCGAAATACTTTTTGTTTTATTTTTCAACATTTTGTATTAGACAGCACAATTTATTTTTCACAATTTATTTATGAGCTGTGAAAAACTCCATTCGAGTTTAACATTTTGAAACCATACATTAGGCCCCATTCCCATTATCACCTCAAAAACAATCACCCTGAAGAGCCAGCATTAGTTGTGATTTATATGCGGTGGCCCAACACCAAGGATGTCTGGTGGTAAGTGCGATCCCGCCTGGCAATTACTTTCGCACACAAGACACGGCCAACCCAGTTTTGTTATTATCTGTGCGGAGAATCTGCGGATCGTAGGCCTCGCACAGTGGCACACTTACGAGCTCCGCCACTCGCAATCACAATCGCACTCACTCAGTCGTCCGTCATGTGGCACGTATTCGCATTTGTCATGGGAGGGGTAGGGAAATTGCCCCCTCGAACCGAAACACAATGCCAGCCCAGAGATCCAGAGATCCACAAAGATCCACAGACACTGGCACACACCTCGAAATTATTCGAAATTGCCATTGTTAGCGAAGTGGAGAGGGTTTTCTTCGGATTTTCACTTTCGTCGAGAGCGTTGTGCAGAAAATGTTGTGTTGTGCGGATAGGTGGCCAGGAAAGCCATACCGCTCGGCAGGCCAGCTGACGCTCAAGTGCGGGATCGCTTTTGGCCCAACAGCAGAGGCAGCGACAGAGGTAGTGGCAGCGGCAGAAAAATCAGCCCAGCAGCGATGAGAGCGAAAGTGCACGACACTGGGTCTCGACTTGGCCAAAAAGCCTGGCCAAAAAAAAAGAAAGAGCGGCGGAGAGAGCTCTCCAGCACATCCGACAGCGGGAAATCGGCGGTGCTGTAATAAGTTGATTGTGCGGTAATTTCGGTTTCACTTGCTTGCCATCCCACACAGACAGACGTTAACCCCACCGACACCAACACAGATACAGATACAGAAACAGTCACAGATACAGATGCAGATACAGCTTAAGATACAGATACACTCGGGCAGACGGAGACACAGACAGATGGCCAAGACAGCGCCTCATTATTGGCCTGCTCGCCACGCATGCGCAGTGCCCAGAAAGCAAAGTCGCATCATCATCGCCAAAGCGCCAAAGCCAAAGCCAAAGCCGAAACCGAAACAGAGACCCTCTCGCGGACACAACGGCGATGTGGTTGTGTTTGTGGTGGTGGCGTGCATCTGGCTGGATTTCTGTATAAATTGGTGATGCGGCTGCAGTGGTTCGTCAGTGAAGCATTTGATTTGGTCTAATAAACAGCAGCCTAGTGCAATCCGAGGATATAGCAACGTGAGGCATCCCCTAAAGCTGAGTCCAACTAATCCGTATAACTGAATCCCCGTTTCGTTTCTGTTTTCCCAAACCCCAAACCCCAAACAAACCAAACGATCAAACCACTCAACCACAGACCGAGGATTACTGTGAGATAGTGCCAAGTGCTAAAGTGAGTGTGCGTCGTGAACAAGAGCCGTGTAACCGCATCCGTATCCAGTATCCACTATCCAATATCCACTATCCATTACCCATACGCACCGTTGACCCGTGACTGCGCAGCCATGAAAGCCTTCATCCTAATGTCCTGTCTGGCGCTGGCCGCCGCTCGTCCTGAGGCGGGCTACAACTACAACCGTCCAGGAGGCGGCGGTGGATCCGGTGGTGGATTCGGAGGTGGCTCCGGCGGCGGATTCGGTGGTGGCTCCAGCGGCGGATTCGGCGGTGGCTCCAGCGGTGGATTCGGAGGCGGCGGCTTCAGCAGCGGCGGAGGCGGTGGCTTCAGCAGCGGTGGAGGCGGCGGTGGCTTCGGAGGCGGTGGATTCGGAGGCGGCTCCGGCGGCGGCGGCGGATTCGGTGGAGGTGCGTAAAGATCACTGGGAGAAGTAGGCTCAATGTAAAACACTTAATCCTCAGGTGGCAGCATCGGTGGATTCGGAGGCGGCGGCGGTGGTGGCACCACCCTGGTGCAGAAGCACATCTACGTGCACGTGCCGCCACCAGAGCAGGAGGAGGTGCGCCAGCGCCCCAACCTGCCCGTCGGCCAGTCGCAGAAGCACTACAAGATCATCTTCATCAAGGCCCCATCGCCACCCTCGTACCAGGCTCCGGTCATCCCACTGCAGCCCCAGAACGAGGAGAAGACCCTGGTCTACGTGCTGGTGAAGAAGCCCGAGGACCAGCAGGACATCGTCATCCCGACGCCAGCGCCCACGCAGCCATCGAAGCCGGAGGTGTACTTCATCAAGTACAAGACCCAGAAGGACGGCGGCGGATCCTCGGGCGGCTTCTCGGGCGGACTCTCGGGCGGCTCCGGCGGCCTCTCCGGCGGACTCTCCGGCAGCCTCTCGGGCAGCTCCGGCGGCTTCACCCAGACCAACACCGGCGGCGGGTACACCTCCGGCGGCGACGGCGGCTTCTCCGGCGGTGACAGCGGCTCCATCTCGGCCCCGTCCAGCAACTACGGACCGCCCGGCAAGTCCGGACCCTACTAAGCAGATCCTCAGCCCATCGAGAACTCTCCACTGCGAACTTCGAACTCGGCTCAAGCTGCTGACTAGTCCTGTCGTTGACACGCCCCCAAAACTCTCGCTCGAGAACCGCATCATCCACATCACACCCATTAACCGCCACAACACGATCTTTGACCACCATGTGTCCCCGAATTATCTCAGACTTTCATCTCCTTCAAAGGGGCGGCGCTTTCGCCCACGACTTTTGTACATAAAACGTTTTCCTCCTTCTCCTCCTTGCGCTCCTCCTTCATTTTCACTCACTCTGAACTAACATCGCTGGCATCTCAGCGTTTTCACCTTCAACTGAATTAGAGTCTAACCTTCAGCCCTGCCTGGGAAATTCTATTAGCTAATAGGCGACAAGGGCGGGTTCCTTGGATGGGAACCTCGCTTGGCGCCCGGAAGAGCGAATGATGATAATGATGATGATTTGTAGCAGAAGATGATTTAGCGGGCCTTCACATGCCCATACATATAAATATATACTTTAATTATACTAGGCCTAAGTACTTTATGCACAAAAAAAAAAACAACGGTGACAAAATTACGAAAAAAAAACTCAATAGTATTTTATTTTAATTTTGGCAGTCAGGGGAAATGGGGATTGGCTTTTATCCTTTGCGATTTCCCATTGACCTCTTTTTCCGCTCGTTTTCCGTTACCTAATTAAGCCCGTAAAGAAGGAAGTAGTACTAATTGGCCCTTTAAAGCGAACCTTCCCGCCCCAGGCGTTGTGAACTAATTAAAAAGTAATTTCTCGCCATTACTCGAATAGCTTGTGGATTCCTTAACTTGTAATTTTACGCATTCTTGAGGGTTGATAGTGGGAAAGGACAGCAGTTGACCAGCGATTTGAGTTCCTGTAATTAATTCGAATCCTTTCATGGTCAAGTTTCCAACTAAACTTTCTGTTTAGCTCCACTGATATTCGTGAGAAACTTTTTAAACTATTTTAGAGGCTCCGGTTTTGCAGTTCGTAAATCTAAGTGTTTTATTTCTCTCCGAACTTCTTTGTAGTTCAGAGGAGCAAAAACTTAATTTCTTTTATATGTACTTTGCAAACTGTTGCTCTGTTTTTTCTCAGTCATTACCAACGGCTTGGAAACACTACAATCCGACTGCTTTAATTTTGTTTGTGAATTTTGTTTATTTTTCTACAATGGTTTAATGCTTTAAGTATACAGACAGCATTGGCATTGTCATTGCCGCCCGAGCTTCTTCCTCTCATTTTCGCCCAACTTTGCCACTTTCACTTCGGCGCAATTGTTGCCGTTTCGGCTGCTGTTACCTTTAACCCAAATCAGCCGACTTTTTAATTTCAATAATAATTATGATTTGTTTTGAATATAAGAAAGTTTTTCAGTTTTACCAGAGATGTGTATTAAATATTTATTTAATAACGTTAAAGATAAGAAAAATTCAGTAGTTTAGCTTTGCAAATTCCAAGTGTATTTAACTGATTTCGCCCAATATATCTTTGAGTAATAAAAAAAGTTTATGAATTGTTTTTTGAACTACTTCGTGACGTATTCCCATTAAAATGGAGGAAAACGAAACAAGACAAATGGGCCGAAATGGGTTAACCAGCTGTTGGAGTCTATCTCTTACATGGCAGATCTCAGTTCGATTCGGAGTGTGCCGCTGCCTTTGTTCCCAGCCTCATAATTTACTGGCATATGCTTCGCTTCCGCCTGTCTGGGCCAAAAACTGAACCGCTGCCGTTGTCTTTGCCGGGGGTTTAGCCTCAACTACATTTGTTTGTTAGCACAATCGATGGCAATCCGTCATGCAAAACTTTGCCCTGCAGCTCATTTCTCCCAAACCGAGTGGAGTCATCACAGCTCTTTGTTTTTTTTATATTTCTGAAAGGGAATCCCAAAGCCATTTCATAGGTAACTTAAAAATAAATAATACAACATTTTGACGACATATGGAAACACTTCGGAGTAATCAGGAACGTTAATAGGTGTATTGTTCGATGCTAACTAAAGAGAAATTTAATTAGGATACTTAGCTGGGATACTGGGTCATGTCAAATGGTTCCTCAATATGTCTAATTAACTTTGTTCGACCTTGTCGGGTCCAGGTGTCGTAAATTGCGGAAAAACAATATCATTGATGCACTCTTCGGTGCACGTAGTGCTAATATTCCTGACTGGCTCGTAAAACGTTGAACGTGTTGTCCTGCCGGAAAGTTGGCCAAAACAAGGACATACCGTATCGCCAAGCGACCGTATATGGGAAATTTACCCGAACAAAGAGCCCTTGTGATTCACAGGGGAGTAAAAGGGGGAAATGAATTGAACATAGGCTGATCCGCCCAACAGCAAAACACACCCACTTGCAGTCCAGCTATTTGAAAAGTTTCTAAGTCCGCAACATTGATGCAAATTGGTGCACAGCCCTTCCGAAAGTCCTTTATTCGTTCCCTTTGGACATCAACGTGCCATTGTGCTAGAAAATTTCTCATGTGCTCTTTAAAAACTCGACTTTTGGATGAGGTTCAACAAATTTGCATTTGACTGGAGTGAAATCAGAATAATCCATACGGAACAACATATTGAAGCATGCAGATAAGGTGCCGCCTTGTTGTGACCCTCCAAATATTTTAAAGCAGCAATTTTTATTTATTTTATTTAGTTATAAAGCATAGAGATAAGTAGGGGAGAATATTTCAAAATTTAAATTGCATCTATGGCCAGACTTCATCACCAGTGTAATAAAAGCGATAACATTAATGATAATAAACGAGCTGGCGAAAAACCCAACATAAATGTCAGCACAAAAATACGTCGGGCGATAAAACAGTTCATGGGGAAAGGAATTGTTTAAAATTCAATTTTTCGGAGGGCTCAAGTCAAACATGAAGGAATCCGTGTCACAGACACCGGGGAGTAAATTCCTTATTATAAATTCCGTATGATAACCAACGACTGTCCCTCTTATTCACAAAAAATATAATATGTATGTATGTATGCTGTGTCATAAGCGAATCATTTTATGACCTTTACTTTTCACTCGGTGGGCGTTTGGGGCTTGGTTTCTGTTTGAGTGTCTTAACGCCTGCCACAGCCACGCCCACAATAAATCGCAGACGCAGTACTTCCGCGAGGTCAGCAGAGAAAAGCGAGAAAATGGGAGGGGAAGGTCGCACTTTCGGTTTCCTCGTTTAATTGACAGCTCCGAAAGGTTTATGACACTTTGGGTGGTTTAATTAATTGTGGGTATTTCTTAGTCGCCCGCTTCCTGCCACGCCCCTCTATGCGGCGAAGGCGCTGGGTTAATTATAATGTATGTAGGTCGTAAAATAAAAGTCGGCTCACGTACGCAAAAAGATACGGAATACTTGAAAAACTCCGCCAATGCGTTTCGTCAAAACCCGTGAAAACGTTGTGGCTTTAACTCTAGTCGCTTTTATCGCCCAATATGGCTTAACCAGAAGCTCTGGGAAATATAATATATGCCTGGTTTTTCTCAAGGCGCAATTTGCTATAAACTGGTTGCTTCTATTTTTGGCGGTCAAAGTCCGCCGTCGCTTTGTTCTTAGGGCCATAAACTTCCAAGCCTATAATTGTGGAGAACAAAATTCCATTTGGACTCCTCCCTTTTCCACTCCTAATTTGTATTTCGCTTTTCTTGCTTTTATTTAATTACATTTTATGACTTTGCGATGGTCATTTGGTTATTGTATTTGCGGCAAAAATTGTGTTAAAGTTATAATAAAATTGAGCCAAAATAAGTTTTAAAGAACAACAACTTTGAACAAAAGAGAACATTAATTTAACGCAAAAACTTTTTCTGTAAATTGCTGTGAAAATTAGTTGCTGATTAGTTTGGCTGCCCGTCGAGCAAATGGTTTAACGACCGTTTGATTTTGGCCATTTCATGGATAATAATTCAAGACTTGGGTGCGCACCTCAACATAGTTTCGGGACTCGAGATTTAAAATCCAAACTTCGTTTCTCTCCTTTTTTTGCCTGGCACTTTCGCAATTAAAAAGTGGGTTCAATTACCACAGCCTCAGACATGCGGGTGTCCAAGGGTCAGTTGTTATTACTGGGAATTGGTCAAGATAGCTTGGAGCACGAGCTAATCGATGATGAATTGATTAATGATCGTAAGCTTCGGAACTTTTTACGCTGATTGATCCAGTTGTTACAAACTATTTATTTCATTTTTATTTTTAGAGACACTTTCGGTGTGAAGCTGTGAATGAAATTTTGCTTTCAATTTTCTGCGAACTGTTTCTGTTTACTCACCATTCGCTTTCAGTGCCACTAAGCTAAGCAGATTGAAAAAAACGGAAAATAATAAAATTACATGGCTCGCCCAAAAAAATGCAATCAAACCAGTTAATGCGTATACTCCGCCCTTTTTTGCTGTTAATTGAAAAAGGGGTTTTTTTCGTTATAAACTTTAACGGAAATGAATGAAATTGGACAACACGAAAAATAAACAGTGTTTGTTATTTATCAGATGTAACAAATAGTGAACAATTAATATATGCCGTCAGTTACAAAACATAGTTACATGATTTAATAGCAACTGAATAGTTTTCTTTACCAAGAATTCATTTCGTCGTTTAAAATATCGATATTAAATCGAATTCCCTGCGCTTAAAAAGCAATCTACTACCCAGACGTCTCCCACATTAATTAAACAAACTAAAAGGCAGGCAGCTGGTCTTAGAAGTAGGAACCACTTGCTTCTAACGGACGTGTCGGGAAATTTAATTAGTGAGTTATTGGAAGGAGAACGATTGGAGAACGCTTTGCACCTCATTACGAGCAGCCTTTCCATCGCCATCGAAGTAGAGCCACCACTTTCAGTTCCATTTAAGCGGACTCAGCGAATCCAAGCTCATTTGTCAGCCTAAGACTTTGATGGCCCAGTTTCTAATGGCGGCCCTTGTTTTTGTGGGTGTGGGCATGAGCGAGTCCGAAACCATTTTGATGAATTACAACACGGGTGTACTGAGACTTAAACATGAGCTCATTTTTTATGTAAGCCCAGCCGCGACATTAAGTTTTTATAGGCGGGCTCAACCGTAACCGGTTCAAAACCAAAACAAATCGCCGAAAAGCCAAGTGCCTTGTGATTGCAGCTAATGCCGGCAGCCTCCGCACCGGCAATTAAGTCTTGGAACTGTCACGCCGAGGTGGCCAAAACAAACTGCCAAAATAAAGATGAAACTAGAGCCGCGGGCGATGAAACCCCAGCCGGCACATATGTCGTATGGCAGGAGAGCCGGCACTTCAGTTGGCGAGGGCACAAAGACTTCTCCATCGCCGGATGATGATGCAGTTTCCACCCACAAACGAAAAATACACTGCTCAAAAATAAACACAGTAAATTATACCATTCTATTTTGTATTGGCTCTAGATAACCTTTAAATTGTTATGGAAACATAAAATAATATTTTTTTTTTTTTGAATCTACATTACATGTTTTTTTCTGTGTGGGCGGGAGGGAAAGTTGGGTTGCAGAGTTCACCAGTCGGCGTACACATGTCCGGGCCAAAGGTCACCGCTGGCAGAGACGTGTGCCCAGACGCCAGGGGAAAACATCATGCACATATTTGTATAAACATTCATTACGAGCTTGCTTGGCTTCACTCTGTTTGCTCCCCGTGTTGTTGCTTTGAAGCGCGAACAACGGCGCGTATACTTAATGTTGACATTGCTAACACTCCGCGGCTGGACGACCAACTAACGAGGCATTAAAACGAATCAAATGGCCTCGTTGAGTACTCGTTAACGTTACCCGGCAACTGCAAACTGGAACGGGGAACTTTAGCTGAAAAGGGAGAACCGACTCGCAACAAAGGCGGCCAATAAAACGACTTGGCGAGTTCATAAAAAGCAATTGCCAGCTTGCCAGACGAAGAACTGTCGCCAGATGCACCAAGCTGACTTCGGTAAACATCAGGAGACAGAGATTCGCAACCAAACGGCCATCGGATCAATTCATAATCCCCCGCCGTTGAGCAAGATTCCGTTTACAGTCGCATATTCAGGCGATTACGCCAACATATTTGCATGCAAATATGATTCAATTTATCCCTTTGCATCTGTGCTTGTTTCAGAATTCAATTCAGATTTGGCATATGATTCGTTTATCGCCAGCCTTTTGCCCATTGCATCATCAACTGAAAATAGCCAGCTGCCTGGCTCAACTTAAAGAAATACACAAGATTTTTTATCAATATTATATTACTTTCTTATCTTATTATTTTTAGGAGAATATTAGGTTGCTATCACAAAAATTCTATTATATTCAATTAAATTATTTAATAACAACCCGAACTGTTTTTCGAGTGTATAACTGTATGCTTGTAAACTGAAGTTTACATCTTTGTCGTGGCTCAGTTTCAGGCCGTAAGCCATTATGTCTAGTTTCTTCAGGTGGTCACGTTAAAGGGACGTGGCCATTGAGTTCATCGTTAAAGTAAACTATGCCGTCATATTCGCTATTCTGTCTCAGGTCGATTGTATCTTTTGGCAGAATTGCAATTCGCCTGAACTTGATAACCTTTTTATAGTCTTTCAGGCATTAAAGTCCTGTGACTCACTGACAATATTATTAGTAGTTACAAGTTAAACAACATATGAATTTTACGCGTTTCCTTCAGGTGTCAAAAGGAAAAAATTCCGAACCCCGCGATGAGACATTTTTATAGCCCAATTGCGTGTTGAAATAGAGAAGTAAAATTTACGATTTCTGTGCGGAAAGGGGATGGGGTTAACATTCACTGCCAAGCCTAAAAGTAGGCCCAAATCATGGCTCACACATACAACGGCTTTATTTGGGTGCCAGTTCATAATTGCTTGCAGCATCAAAGCAAAACCTCGGTACTCAGACTTAAAGATGCCCCAATAAAAATTAGTTTGAAGGGGCGATAAAAGAAAGTCATTGCCCCCTTATATAAATAAACTTGAACTTCTTGGCCCAGTTTTATGATTCGCCATAGATTTTACGGCTTGGCGGGCTGCGATAAGAATAAATTTCACAACATGCGAGGGCGGTCAAGGTCGTAAAGCAAAACAAAAGCGGATGGAAATTCCTCATTGTATACGACCACAGACCTATAAATAAACTTTGGGTTTCGGGGTCTCAAACTTCTTCTTCTCCTCCTCCACTTGCAGATGATAAAGATGATGCTGACGGTTGTGATTGTATTTACCAGCTGCTGGCTGCCATTCAATATTTTGCAGGTGAGTATATAATGGCTTTAAGTGACTTAATTTGCTAACCAACAAAAGTTTAATGCAAAAAGAGTATAAAACTGGTTATGAATAATAGAATTCATATTATTTTTATTGTTAATCTACCTTTAGACATAGTATTTTAAATAATTTTTTTTTAATTTTTATTTTCTTTCCATAGCTTTTGCTGAACGATGAGGAGTTCGCGCGCTGGGTGCCGCTGCCGTACGTGTGGTTCGCCTTCCACTGGCTGGCCATGTCGCACAGCTGCTACAACCCGATCATCTACTGCTACATGAACGCCCGGTTCAGGGGCGGATTCCTGCAGATCATGCACCGCGTGCCGGGCCTGCGTCGCTGCTGCTGCCTCAATCGCTATCTGCGGAGCGGCGGCGAGCGGAGCTTTGAAGCTACCGGTGAGATGAACATCAAGTACCATCGCCAAGTCGGCGACCCTCTAGTCAGGAAACCTAAGATACGCATTAGGTGCTACCCCTCTTCACTTCGTAAACCGTATTGTTTCGATTTTGAATCTCTGAGTGTGTAGACCTTACGGAATCTGGACTTATTTTGTCCTTAGTAAACGTAGTTTGTTCCGTTCTTAAACAGCCTTGCATGCCGATCAAATAGCACGCAATCTCTCTACCGCATGAACCGCAGCACCAGCGTTGCCTTTGCTCCGATTAAACACTCTTTTTGCTAATATATATCCTTGTTTGTTTCCACTCTTCTCTGGTAAAATAAAAGGAACAGCCGCGGCCTTCCACCTCAATCGTATGAACACGTGCACCACCTACATCAGCACCCGGAGAAAGTTACGAGCGAATTCTATGCAAGCAGTAAGTTTGGTGTTTGATTTAAACCATGGTTGCCACTTTAGTGGTTCAAACATATATCTAAACCTTTATATTAGAGCCAATCTTCATGTGCCGAGACGTCAGCCTTGCGGTAGCTTCCATCGGAGCCGATGAATCACCTGCTCACCAAGAAGACAGCGCAGGTGATGTGCACGTGAACGGAAAGTGCACAGAGTTTTGAATAAAAAAAATAACGAATAAAACAACAACCAAAGAAAGAATCTCCCACAGAGTCCCGTCTGCTGAGTGTATATGTGTGCATGTGTGTGAATGTCCGAGTGTTTTACCTGTATTGCAAGTGTTAACTCAATGTATTTGTACTGAATGTATTTAAATGTACCAATGAAGAAAGTATAAGCTATTCACATAAAAATGTTTGATTGTAAGCAGCCAGTTCAAATAAACCCGCAAGTTATGCAATTTAATTTGTGTATTTTAAGCTGTCCCTTCAAAATCGTAGCCTACACTTGAGCTGTGAACTCGGAGGGGTTCAATTGAAAAGCGTTTACCATTTATTTGCACCACCATTAAGAACCGTGCAAAAGACACCTGTATAATTGATCTAAACTTACGGCTAACTAAGTACAAACGGGTAGAAAAATCACTTGACTGTTCCTGTTTCAATTGCTTGTTCGTTGAGCATGCCAATTACCAAATGCGGCACTTGGGCTGGTTGGGGTTCATGGGAGTGCCTCTGGCGCACTTGAAGGTCCTGGCGAATTCCTCCGAATTCGAGAGCACTCCCCGCAAACGCATCTGGCCTGGACAATGCGAATCGCTGAGGGCGTACCTCGATGCTGCCGGCGTGTAGGTTTCGCACCACAGGTTCCCGAACGATATGAAGAAGAGCTGCTCGTGGGAAAAGTGCTCCAGTCCCGGCAACTTGGACTTCTCCCGCCCAACTTCTTTAACGTAGAGGCGATACGCGTAGAAGGCCTCGCGCATTCCACCGTTGTCCGCGATGTTCTCGCCAAGAGTTAGTTCCCCATCGATCTGAAAAGTACGTATATAAATATTATATGTAGGTATAAGCTCAAAGAAAAGGTAAGTAAGCATTAAGCCTATGGAACATGAAGAAATTTAACAAAACCGATTACTTACATATTCATCAATGTCCGCGAGATGGTAGCGACTATACTGCTCCACAAAGCACTCGGTGCGGTTTATGTACTCATCGATGGTCCTGTTGGACCACCACTCGACCATGTTCCCTGCCCGATCGAATCTCCTGCCGCTGTCATCAAATCCGTGAGTCAGTTCGTGGCCCAGAATTGTGCCAATCGAGCCATAATTGAGCGCCCTGCCAAGGACACAGACCAACAATCGGGTTAGGGCCATTCCGATGGGGTGGGATTAGTGCAAGGTGGGGATGAGAGTGCGGGAACGTGCCTGTGGCTCAGTTTCGCTATCAGTGTGCTCAGTGCTCAGTGCTCGGAACTCAGTGCTCAGTATTCAGTGGTATTCCTGAACGGACTTACTCCAGACCGAGGTCGTAAAACGGGTATTGCAAAATGGCAATGGGCACAGCTGCAAAATAAGATAGTGTCAGGATTAGAGGCTCTACACATGGTTGTTTTCATAAAAAATGTTTTTAATTTCCAAATAAATGTTTTAAAGAAATATTTATACTTAGTTCTGAAGAGTTAGGATATTATTAAATTTTAAGAAAACTCTCTTTGTTCAGTAGTTTTCACATTCAGTATGACTTTTCTCTGAGTGTACTCACTGATTGCATTCGATTGAAAAGTGTGGAAGGCATTCACATTCGAAGGGGACGTCGCCCAGCCAATGGGCTCCGGCTTATCCATTTCGTTCAGCTTGTCCATCATCTGCCAGTGGACGAAGTCCATGAGGTTCTCCAGGTGGGTGCTGGTGTTCACCTCCACCCCCTCGTAGTAGGCATTCAGCACGGTGGCATTTCGCAGCCAGGATGGGAAGCCAATGAAGCTCTTCATTTCCGCCGACTTTTGGATGGTCTTCCGCTTGGTGGCCGCATCCATCCAGGAGGTGGCCTTCACCAGGCGATCGAAGGAGCGCCGTATGTCGCTCAGCATCCGCTCCACTCTGGGTAACTTGTCCCTGGTGAACTCCTCGTCTGCCAGGACATAACTCACTGCCATCCCGAACAGACTGTTGACTCCGTTGGCGCAGTACAGGGATCGCGGGGTGCTGCCCTCCGTTCCGATGGCCAGCCTCATGTACTCCGAGTGGAGCAGGCGCATCGAGCTGGAAGTGTGCAGGACCAGCTCCTCGACGGTGCTCAGCCACAGGTAGGACTCGATATGGGAGGCAGGGGTCTCCTCCAGATACTCCACCACTTGCTGCAGATACATTATGTCCGCCTGGCTGGTTATTATTGTCAGATTTCTGGTCATTTGGACATTGTCCGCGTGACGGGTTCCTTTGAGGATCAGTTCCATGTATTGCACCCAAATGGGTAATGTTTTTGGGGCAATGTTCTTGTCTGTTTGATTTTGCAGATCCAACAGAGATATGTAGATAATATCATCAGCCGGGTTCTTCGAGGGCTTGGTAATGTTCTCGGCTTCTTCTTTTAACTACAGGCAATTATTTGTTGAATGAAGCACAATCGTTTTAGAGAGTGGATGCACCTACCTCATGGACTTTCCTTGCCACTTTAACGCCCTGCTTAACCAACTCGGTGATGCCCAGAGTGGCCTCCTCCTGGTTCACATTCGGATCCACATAGAGCAGATACTTCTCGATGACCTTTCGCACGTAGTGGAGATAGGCTGCCATTCCTGCGCTGGTCTGCTTGGCCGCCTCCTCCTCCTCGCTCTCCCGATCCTCCTCGCTGTCGTCCTCATCATCGCTGTTTTGCATGAAAATCGTTTTCCGGTGTATCTTGCGGAGCAACTTGTGGGAGTCATCGTTGTTGCTGTGAGTAAAATGGATTTATTTATCATAATAACTGTCAAGCAATAAAAATAACTATCCGACTAAGGGTCCTTTAAAATTATTTAATTCATAATTAATTTATCTTTTCTAAGTAACCACTCACAATGGAAAGGCTGAGTCAGTTTCCGGAGTTCCTAGCGCAATGCGGTTGATGGTTCGATTGAAGGGATCCGGAAAGACGTCAAATCCTATTATTAAATCCATACTTAGATGTTGTTTAATGGCCACAATGGAGTGCAGCCAGTTGTAGCTGACATTGGCAGCCTCTGTGGCGAACTTGGAACCACTTCCTAATGTTAGGTTTAAAGACGAGGGCAGTACGGGCAGTCCAAAACGCAGCAGATAGCGCACCAGTGGCTCCAGATCCCTCGTGTCCAGCAGCTTGGTATCCATACAGGCCCGGTACATCGTCTTGGCCTTGCCCACCGCCTCCGGCTCCGACTTGGTGATATTTGAGCGCAGGAACTCCCGCACCACGCGCATTATGTGCGCCTGCCGCTCCCGGAACCAATCGTTCGAGGTCACCGAATCCGGTCGCGGATGCTCGTTGGCCCACCTGCCACAGGTGAACTGGTAGAAGTCCTCGCAGGGATCAGTCTGCTCGTCCATCGCGTAGATGAGGCTGGCCGCTGTGCGGATGCACTCCTTGCTCCGGCAGATCGAGCTGGATTTCTTAACTACAACGGTGAGAAGAAGGCAATAGTAAAGGGCAAGTAGAGAATTCTTCAGTCATCACAAATGTCGAGCAAAATGCATAAAGGCTAAGCAATATTGCAGTAATGACGAGCAAACCCATTTTTTAGAAATTTGGAAAGGCCCAAAAAATACAAAATTAACTATTGATTAGAGAATTAAAATACAAACTTGTTTTGCCACTTCAAAATCTGATTAAAATAAGAAATGGCTTAGGAGTTGTGAATTTTGGTCTATTTTCAGCAAGACCATTTTCTGAGCATACGAAAAGGGGTAAATTGTCCAAGTTTTTGATGGAGTGTTTTTCAAAAATGTCCAATGGATTGCAGAAAATTAATTTCGGGGAGAATATACTTACGGCTTAGGCTTACGACTATGATTGCTATCAGCAGAACGATTACAAGAGCCAGCAGTCCACCCAGCACCACTTTGTGGTAATAACTCCGGCGAAACCTGCAGTACAGCATTAATGAAAGACAATGAAAAAGTTGGAGGGAGTGCACTCACTTGGATTGAATGCCAATTAGATTTGGGGATATGGGCTCGTAGGGCAGCTGCTTTCCATTCGCACTCTCCGTGGCAGAATTGTTTCCATGTCCATTAGCAGCTGCGTTTCCATTGCCACTGCCAATGGCTCGAATGGGTGCCGAAAGAAGGCTGAGGTTACCTGAAATTGGATTTTAACAATCTTTTATTGTTGTCCAAAGACTAAGCACTAATTGGTCTCTGCCGGAGCTCAATTAGATTTGAGAAATCGAAGGCAGATAGACAGAGACAGGTTTTATTAACGCTAATTAGTCAAATGTTGTCAATTGTGTTTGTTTTTTACTCAACACAACAACCCACCACCCACCACCTGTCGTTGTTCGTGTGTGCCTCGACTTATCTTGATCTGCCGCAATTCGCTGTCTCTGTCGTCATCGGACAGGTGGGCTTCCTCCACCCGGTGTCCCTAATCGCCTGGCTAATGCATACACCTGTCACAGAAAAAGTCCTGTAAGTGTGGACAATCCTGCCGCAGACAAAAAGCGTTAGGAGCTGGTGACAACGTCCGGTTCAATGGCCCCAAAACATTTCGCGTGTCCGGCAGCAGTTTAACCCATTTTAAAAAATCAAAGCCGATTAAAAACACGAACCAATCTTAAATTTGCATGTGAAATAAGGACAGTAGAATCTCGCTTGGTCAAATAGCCCTAAATGCATCAAAGTAATATTTACATATAGGCATTCAGCAAATTGTCAATTGTAATTGTCTGTCAGTACGAAATTTGTCATCACAAAATTCAAAATTCGAATAAAAATATTTCATAATGTTTTTCTCTTTGTCCGCGCTAATAATAAATAACTCCGAAATCGAGGCGAATCTTTTTGGTATGGCCGATGATGTCTACAGCACTATCGAAATATTCAAGGAGGCGGTCAAATTCGAGGCTAGGATCGCTAGACCTTATAAAATGGTGGAGAACATCATAGACTGTTTAGTGTTCATGGTGGTGGCTCTAATGATCGTGGCTTTTACCATGCACGATCGAATTGTAGCATTGAGAAAATGTTCCAGGATCAGTAAAATAGTTAGCCAAAGGGCTCTTGGGAAGGAAAAGAAGAGGCGTCATCAAAATAAAGATTCCAATACTTCTCTTCTCAAAAATAATAATGGGAATGCTGTGGAGCCAGAAGAGGACGAGAGCATTGGAAATCCTGAAATTCTAGCAAATGATGACGACACAATTACGCTTCAACCCTTGGATAATTTACAGAATCAGAAGAGCGCCATGGTCGGAACTCCCAAATGGGCCGAAAACTGGCTGTCCACCATTCGCAATAAAGCAATCGGATCGATTTTCGATGGCTTGTTCCGGTAGAACAAATGACACGTCACACACTATGAATACGTGACCCAAAGATCTTTGAGGTTTTGCGGTTAGCGATTTGTGTCGGGTATTGACCGTAGTATTGATGTACCACAAATTGCCTTAATATAACCATATAATATCATGATCATGAGTCATTAAAGTGTAAATGCAATTTACTTAAGTTGCAATAAAAAAGCTTAAGAAAGCCTTTACCTTTTGCTAACATGTCGTAATTCAATGGCGTTGGAAAGAGAATAAGCATTGCATTTTAAAATAAATTGTGAAGGCATAAAATTGAAAGTGCTTTATTTGGGAAATATTATATATATATTAACATTCAGATTCTCACCCGGTGTTTGCAATCTCTGGAGTGGCTGGAGGGTCTGCTGCTGCAGATTGTCGCCAAAGAAGCCATGGTTGACGTTGCCCGTAGTCCAGATGCGGTTGCGATCCTCCATTGCCATCGCATGAGTCAGTCTAGTCGGCAGATTAATGCATATTCCGTGTGATTTTTCTGCTGGTTTTACACTAAGTACTGGTGATTTTCCTAGGGCCTCCGGTGCATATCAATGAGCTCCGGAAAAGCTTTATCCGAATGCACGTCACAACGCCCACATGTTGCGCTGATGCAGGGAACGGTTCAAGACGAAGTGGGAACAGCTGGCCGCCAGCTTATTTATTTGCTCATTACTCTGAACTTGTTTCTCCTACGGCCAACAGCAGGCAGTTGCATAATTTGACATTATGTGAGGCCGAAACAAAAGCTGGGGAACTGCAGGCCGAGAACTCTGGAAAAATCGACTCGAAGTGGAGTGGAGCCAGTGCAGCGGGCGACTAGACTGAAACAGCGACTACCGGCGTATTGGAGTCCGGGCGTCGCTAACCGAACGTATTTATACTGGCCCAATACCAGCGCCAGCAACCGAATAACAACAATACGGCTGGCAGTGGCAATAGTACTGCCAACAAACAAATCAGGCAACCCCCATTAACTCCTTCGGCCATGCAAATGTGCTGCGGCAATTACGAGCCACCAATGCGACCCACTCGCCCAATTCCATTCCCACCGAAAAACGCCGACACTGTCTGACTGTCCTGCATGTTGTCCGTGTTGTTGTTTCTCTTATCCATTATAGTTTGGGTCGATTGATTTTAAATAACGCTCCAAAAATTATTCCAAGAGTTTCTGAAGTCATATACTTATAGAAGACATTTCCAGAAATGATTCATTTAAGTACATATTTTATTTTAACCACAAATATTTAATATCAACAAATTATTTTAAGACCAGTGTGCATTCTTCTTCGTTTGTTAACTACGTAATTACAATTTTAACACAAGTGTAGAAACTGCTTTTTTTTACAAGTGCTAGAAATTCTGAATTCGCACACCTTCCCTTTGTAGAACTCCAATAGTTTTAAAGTGTTTTAACAGAAGCCGTGAGTTGCAATCTGCTTAAGTGCTTGTTGATTCATTGGTAGAGTGTAATCCCTGATTAAACACAAATTCTTTACTTAATACATGACAAACCCACCGTGCTTCTGAGGTAACCAGTGTTCGGATACAAAGTCCGAGTTGTTTTCTCAGCGAATCAAAACAGACACGAACGGACGGGAAGTGACCACGATCCGCGGGTTGAAAACAGTGGCGTAATGAGAAAAAGTACATTACAAAGGGCACCGGAATCCTATATATAAATTCCGCTGGGGAAGATATATGGATGGTTGCTAATTGATATGGGCTCAGGTGAGTGCGCATTGGGAGGTGCATGATTGATGACCCTGGGCAAGGCCCAATCGACCAGGACACGACACTGGTTTTGGCCAAACGGAAGGGACACCTAATAATAGTAATTAAATGGTGGCACTTTGCCCGCCCACGAGGAATCCACAAGCATTCGCATTGTTCGCCCTAACTTTGACATAGTTTATTGTGTCCGGGAATCAATAAATAGTATTGATTTCCACATGTGCCGCCTCAAGAAACATCGCGCATACGCCCCGCTGTCAGCAAGAAACTCCAAGAGCAAACGGAGCATGTTATCCTTCTCCCGGCGGAAGCCACCCCTTCGGGATTGTGTTTACACTCACTGGGGTGTAATTGGTCTGCACTGCGGGGTGAACCGAATTATTGTTAATAAGCAAAAAAACTGTCCACCAGGTACTCCCCGATGGGTTCAAAGAACTTTACTTTGCTGGCATGTACTTGCATACATTTATTATACATATCTTTTTTTTTACCATACAGTTTTCACATTTTTCTTTTTTTTTTTGTATTCTAATTATAATTGCATGCACTTCTAGCTTAGACATTAGACGAGGAAGCCAAAAACGTTTATATGACACGAATATGTTTACGATGACTCGATTTAAAATTCTAAATTAATATGCGCATTAGTCTAAGTGTGGTTTCTGCGCTCGAGGGCAGATTACAAGTGGGATTTTTTTTGTGCACAGGAGTTGGACCTCTTTCGTACAGATTATAAAATAAAACAACGACCCCTGGACAGTTTGGCCTGCCATCCTGTGGTGGGTGAAACTCTATGCTGCAAAGAGAAGAAGGGAAACAATTTTTCATATTAGGGATCTAGTTGACTTTGTGCCAATTTCAAAAACAGTTGAATGTTAGATACGCTATAGTCAGTCTGTCTCCATCGATCACAGGAAACGCTCTTGAATTTCATTTGAATTCGTTGAGAAGCATTATTTGAGAAGCTTAACTTTTGCGTGTTTTTGTGCATTTGCGTATTGTCTGGCGCGATGGATCGCGCCTTTGGAAACTTGGAGAACAAGTTCAAGTGTCTGGTGAAGGCGGAAGGCAAGGGAATGGCCCTCAAGTTGGTTGGATTCTACGCCGTCGGCTGGACCCTTCGAAAGTTGGTCAAGTGATGCCTGTTGGTCGTTCTCGTTTTTCCGTTACCCGTATTTGTCGCCCCTTTGAAAATTCTATGTACGAATAAATTGCGGTTTCACCTCATAATCACATTTTCGCAGCCATCGACTGGAGTTTCAGTGTGTCTTCAGGCCACATTTGCAGCAGGAGGGAATCTGGAAGGTCTCCTGCACCACGTCTAGATTGCCGTCGTTTTTGATGCTGGCCAGGTTTCGAAGGACGTAGTGCTGCGTGCAAGTGGGCTTGTAACTTTGCGGAAAGTTGGAGGTAAACTGGCAGGGCTCCCCGGCTCCTCTGGATGAGTGAAATAAAAAGATTGAGAGTTGACAAAAAAAACCGGTTTAGGCAAAAATGGTTAACTTCAGATTCGACTCACTCGCACTCCTCGATCTGAATAGCCTGCTTGTACTCCTCGTTATTGACGATCAACTGCCAGGTGTTGTCCGACTTCAGACCCTTCTTCGGATACATGTATCTGCGGTTGCTGTTGCAGAGGTACGTCAGATCGTCGGAGCCCACGCGGGCACTCACGTCAGTGGGCTGCAGCTCGTCGCTGAAGAACTTGGAGAAGTTTTTCTCCAGCTTGTGCTTCAGGCTAGAAAGGTCCGGATAGTCGTCCACATGGATGCAGAACGACTTGGAGGCCTGGTTGCTGCTGTTTCCGCAAGGCTGGTGGCGTTGAGTCACACTGATCTTGGCTACGGAATCGGGGAAGACAAAGGCTAAAATTAGGCAAGCGCCAAAGGCAGTTGGCCAGTGAGTATGGGATCGATTTAGTTGTTAGTTGCAAGGCATGTATCGAATGTAGCTGAGCCAATACATATATACGGATATATGTTGGATTTGAATACTTACAGTCAAAGGGGCGGTGTTGGCGTGCCGGCTGGTCCGATTGCACCTCAGAATTAGTGCCCTGCAACGAGAGGAACGTTTCGTTAAAGACCAGATTCAGCTTGCCGTCCGGGGAGCGCTGCACTTTGAAGGACTGATCCGGCTGGTTCAGGCTGTGATACTGATGATAATGGCTGTTCGGTTGGGGAATCGGTGACTGATTCTGATTCTGGTACGCGTCATCGTGCATGGTCGTTATGGGCATGAGGGGTGCACTGTCCGCGGTCGTTGTCTGTGTGGGTAAAATTCAATCGTGTCAGTCTTTAACCGAAGGGCAAAAAATACACAAAGACAACACAACCCAACACAAGATCAAATGAGCGATGAAATGGATATGCAGTATAGGATGTAGGATACACAAATTCGCTTATACATTTATGAATCACCTTAGATCACCTTAGCTCAATAATACCTCAACATTAGGTTTTTCAATTCATGTTATCTTTAACTTACATAATGCTATAAAAATCAGAGGCGATTTTATAAAATGCATGCACTTACATTATTAAAGAGTATAAGACCCGGTTTATCGTTAACTACAAAAACCGAATGAAGTAATTCCTCTACATCCTTGGCCTGGTAAAAGAAAAAGACAAGACAAAAGGCTTTAGTCCCGGCTTGGAAATTTTGGCTATAGATACATAAAAGAGTTCGGGATTTGGGGAAAGGAAAATGTGGCTTTATTTCGGGACACCCTGGCACGGATTTGCCCACACCTTGTAATCGGCACACAGCTTTATAATGTGTTCGTCGGAATTGTTGGAAGGCTTAGAAATCCTGGTGCACAACAAATCCATCAGCTTCTTTGCTTCATGCTCGGCCTCGAGTCGCTTCGAAATTTCGCTACTGATACAAAATATCTGAAAAATACAGGTGAGAGTTGTGTTTGCGGTTCATCAACATTGCCAAGACAACGGAGTACATATTCGTGGGTCATTGTTTGTTGGTTTGTTCCACTCTCTAACTCGCTATATTCTGCCCTCTCTCACTTTTATCAAAACTTCATTTGCGTATTTGAAAAGTTTGAACAGCTGTTTTCCGGGCAGGCGCAGTTTTTCTCCCGGCATCGCTTCTCTATTTGCGTTGAGTTAGGATCCGAACCCCGTGTTTGAGTTCTAAATCTGAACCCATAATTTGGAAGAGCTCCCCAGAGTAGTTATTGAAACTGAGAAAGAAATGTCTTGAGGAACAGATCGCGGTTCAGTTGGCAACTAAAGCCAATGACAACCAAATGGTTTTGATAGGTCAAAAAGTAAATGCGAATGAAGATTAGTTGTCGAGGTAGAAACTGATCCACATGAGCTGGACAAATATTAACAATTTTGTATATAACCTTTATAACCTTAGACCAATAAAAATATATTCGACAAAATTCGACTAATGAGATTAGCTCCCGAAGCAAAAAACATGGTATTTCCTTGAAAAAAGTAATTTTAGAAATTATCTTTATACTGTTTGAATAAATAAAAGCAACATAAATATGCACTTGTAGAAAAAAACCTTGATAAAGCGCTATAAAGCTTCTAAGGCCCTCCGCACATTCCCATATAAGCTCGATTATTATTCTTCACTCCCAAAATAAATAAAGATTTTGTTTGCTTCTAAAATTCCTTAACATAAGTTTAGGAAGTTGGGTCTGCCGGGGACGTATAAAACCCGATTAAAAGTGCAGCCCGATATGAACTTGAGGCCCGATATGAACTTGCCCGAGAATTTCTCGGAATGTTTTTCCCGGAATTTATCGCGATTAAAAGCCTTTTGGTTGATCTAAGGCAAGCATTGAATTTTTTCATATATACATTTTTCCATCTCAGTTTTTGGTTTTCCATGAACCTATTGACACTTAGTCAGAACTTAAAACGATCTTTGAAACCTGTTCGGTTTGGAATTTGCTGAAAACCTGGATGCTTAACGGATTTTTCTATGTCCAGTTTCATTCAGAATTATTATTTCAGATTAGTTGTTGTTCACACAAAGATAATCGACCCTTTTGTTGGCAGTAAATTACCTTGAGAATCGTGTGCAGAATAAATGGCATTATTGATGTCAAACAATATTATTGCAAAGCCGATGATGTGCATTTATTAAGCCGAGAATGAAAATTGCACATAACTCGCCATTGGCAATGCGAACAGGTTTTCAATCTCTGACTTAATTTGAACTTGAAAATACCCTTCGGCGTATGGAAATGCTAATACATCTACGAAAAATTTAAAGTAAACCAAAACCAAATCGAATTTTGTTAGGGAACAATCCATTGCCCGTTAGAGTTAGGGGAAGCAGAAAGTAGCGAAGCACAGAAAAACAGAAAGACAGTCGAACTCTCATAACTGAAACAATCACCTGCCTCTCATTGAACCGACTTGTGAAGATTTAAGGTTACAGTAACGGAGCAAAATATTATTTACTATTTTTTTTTTAGGTGTGACACGAATGAGAAAAAGTTCCAAACAATAAATGACATCAAATTTTGTTTTGACTATTAACATTTAGAGCGTAATAAATTTTCTGCTTTTACGATTCGAGGAAGAACGTTAACGTTTGAGACTCCTATTTTATGGTCTCTTCTCATTTTAAGAACACTATTAGAAGCACGGTGCCAGTTATGGAGGTTCGACTGTTATGAAATTTCAAAAAAGAGTGCTTACCGTGGTAAATACGACGAAGAGCAGGACCAGGATTTTTAGAAGTAATGTCCACACGGGCGCCATCATGATTGAAATCGGGGGGATCAGGTGGGTATATAACTATATTAATCTATACTGTGGACGGCGACCGTCTGCGTCTGGGATTATTATACAGCAGAAGGAGATCGGCGGATCGGCGGTGGCTTATACCAATTTTCTTATTGCTACCGTTTTTTTTTATACCGACACCGTTGTTGTTGTTGTTGTTGATCTTTTTTTATGGGCTCTGCGTATATATAAAATAAACAAACTGGCACGACTAAATGTTAATGCCGGGCTTTGATATTGGTAGCGGTTACTGTTGCCGTAGTTGTCGTCGGCGGGTATTTATTTATAAATATTTTGTGGCTCTTTGTGATATGTTGTCTATTCCGCTTTGTTTGTTTCCTTTGCACGCTTTCGAGTCACCGACAGACAGACACTTCAATTAGTCGGTTTGCTTTTCACTTTAGTTTCGCTCTCGCCGCTTTTTAGTGGAACCGTTTTTGGCCGGGCGCTGATTTCGATTGTCCAAGTTGGTAATCCAATTTTGCGAAGACCGCTTGCTCTTGAACTTTTCGGTTCTGTGCGCTGACGGGTAGTGACGAAAATCGCGAGATGCCTGCGCTTTTATGGGCTTATAGCAATCTGCCACCGATCTTGCGCTTCACAAGCGACGCGCGCTGGGATTTTCCGACAAAGCCGCAGAGGTACACCGCCGATTCCCCCCGGAGATCCAAAGGCATTAACTTAACTCGGTATCGATTTGTCGCGATCGAGAACACACGACAGCGAGAGTGGACGACTGGTAGGCAACTGAACGTTCAGACTCGAAGATCTCCGCCGCGACGCTCGGCTCCCCAAACAATTGCCAAGTGCAGCTCAAGCCGACGCTTGCGAGAGTGCGAGCGGGAGAGGGAGAGGGAGAGGGCACTGGCAGCGGGGAGAGAGCGGGACGGGATGGGATGGAGGGGAAAGAAGGGGAGAGGTGGGGCGGTCTGATTGGATTTTATCACAGCTGACTACGCCTCTAAATAAGTTTGCGTCTCTCCACAAACATTTTGAGTCATCTTACACTTCGAAAAAAATAGGGATACCAAAACCAACCCACTTTGATTGAACAAGCTTCAAATTACATTTCTAACTTATTTATGATTGCTATATAAAAAAGAAATATATAGTTGCAACTTTGAAAACAATTGAAAAATTGATGATTAGTTATCTCTTAGTAGGAACATATTGTTTGATAAGCATTATAAAATACATATTATATTTTTTATTGCTACATAAACATGACATATAGTTGCAACTTTGTAAACAACTGAAAAACTGATGATTAGTTAATCTCTTAGTAAGAACATATTGTTTGATATGCATAAGGTTATATTATAATTTCATAATAAAAATTGTGAAATTGTGAAATTGTTACTTATGTTTTAGGTTTCGAAATTATTGTTATCAGTGGATGATCTCTTAAATTTTAATTGGCATAATTAAAATCGTTCAGTTTAATGTTTTTGTTTTGACTGCTGCTCCAAATGCTGCTCCAAATGTTACTACTTCGACGATTTACTTCTTTGTTATCAGCAGGATGTTTGCTCTTAAATGTTTCTTTTGTATTGAACAACAGTAATTATGTTATGTATTGTATAATGAACAAAATATATAGATAATTAAGTCCGTTCTCTGGCCTTTCTAAAGCAAGGTCAAAAAGCAATTGTTTAACAAAAAATATTAAAGTGCTTGAATCACAACTTGTTTTTGGAAAATAACACGCATTGGTAGGGCTATCCCCATTCGACCAAGTCCGTCTTAGCCAGCTCACGTCTGCTGCGGCTGAAAGTATAAGTAAAGCCGGGCCAAAGCTTCGCATCAAAGCTCCAAGAGCACACCTGTTGCCGGCACAAACACTAGCAAACAGCTAGCCAAACCAATAGACTTCGTCTAATGGGCTTGGTATTCCGAGCGGGTGCCGCTCACGTCAGTTCCGTCGGCGCACGCGTCACGGGTGTCGGAGATCCGAGCCGCTCCAATCTGCCGTGTGGCTTCCGACTTGGCGCGAGCGAAGACGATGGGAAAGAAGGTGACTCAATTGGTATTTCCGAGAACGGCGGATAAAAAACCACAGCTTGAAAGCGCGCACTGCAAATATTTGCCATGTAACTGGCTTCTGACGCAGTGCCACCTCGCTGCAATGAATGCATTGTTTCGTTTGGCTTTTTGAGGTCCACGACACCGATTGTTATTCCCAATGATGAAAACCTTGAACTTGCCTTCGCAATATGTTCGGACTCGGCCATATCCATTTCTTACCCTTGTCTTTTATTAGCTGATGATATATTGCAGTTTCGCAGAACTAAAATTGCACCAGAAATTCACGAGAATTCTTATTTTATTATTATTAAATAAGCGCGATAAGTGCAATGCAATAAAGGGGAACCGTATGATGCAATTAATTGTACGTGTTTGCAATCTTAATTGTGTGTGTCCATTTTCCAGTCAGCACATATCATTTCTATAAAATCGTATTTGCTGCTTTCTTCTCAGAAACAAATTGATCAATTGCTTAAATTATGATGGCCAATAAAAGCCATAATAATACATAATATTTTTGGGAACAAAACATTGCATACTTAGGGGCAAGAAATTTTAAAGCATATCAGTAGGCCTTTTTAAAAATAAAGCCGACTCACCCTTTATTTAAACACAACCAATTACAATTAACCTGCAACATGTGATGTTTGTTTTATTAATTAAAGGCTTTCCCTGTTTGTCGTTTTATAGGCTATGTTATTTAATACCCAGGTTGCAAAGTATCGTTTAGTACTTGACTTGACTTTAGCTGGAACTGCATCTTATAAGGTTTAGACATTGAGTCATGCGATTACCTATTAAGTCGATTTATACGACGTCTCTGATTTATTGGAAAAGGTCAAGAATTTGCGCAATGTGTTGCAATAGCGACGATGAAAATGTAGGAAACTTGAAAAAAAAAGATATTTATAATTAAATAAGTTCAACTTTTGATTTTCAGTAATTGCCAGAATGTTTGTGCGTGGCACTTAAGTGCGCAAATTAGCTAACATTAGCAAACTTTTATATCCCCAAATCAACGCTAGGTAATTTGCAATTAATTCATTTAACGAATCCAAAGAAAAACTGCGTGTGCGCAGAGTTAGGGTAAATGAGCTGTCGTTCCCCTAACGACTTGATCCAATTAACCTAATAGTTATAAATCGACCAGGAAACAGTTTTCTTCCGCAGCCCCATTAATCGATGTGGCACGTTGGTGATCTTGGGGCCTGGGACATTGGCAAATCGAGTGAGGATGGGCCGAAAGTCAGGGGAAGTCAAGCGAGCCGACTCCCGGGTCAAGTTAACGTGAAATGGTGAAATACGCTTAATGACAGCTTGCTCATGCAAGTGTGTCCGAGCGGGTATACCTCGGACTGAATAAATAATGAAATTGCATTGCACATTCAATAAAATATTTTCAAACGGGCACAATTAAAGCGGCACGGCACCTGAGAAAAATGTGGACGCACCACTTTGCAAAATGCAATTTCAGCCATGACAGCACCACACGCCAGCGTGTTTCTTGTGCGTTTGCGTTTGCGTTTGCCTCGAAAATAAACATTCGAAACGGGCAACCAGGACGAGATCGCGCAGCAGCTGTTGCTCAATTTGTCAGCCGCCTCGATTGCATCATGACCGTAATCCCAGCTGAACGTACTGTTTTGATTTTTTCCTTTGGGGGAGTGGAGTATGAAAAATGGAGATGCCTCTTGCTGAAGTGCTAGGCAAATATCGGTCCCAAAAGCCTGGCTTTCACTTTTTCCTGGCCAGCTGGCTGGCGTTCCATATCCATGTTGGTCTATTCAATTCGCCAAATTGAATTATGCCGTGCAGTTTCCTCTCAAAAAACACACAAAAAATATAATAGAAATCGACCAAAAAGTGCCAAAAACGAGTTCATTTCCGATACGGATTTCAGATATTTTTTGTCGCCGGCACAGCGAAACTTTTGCGAATTTGAAGTTGAAGTTCATTGCGCAACTAACGAGCAACTGCAGCAGGAAGTCGAGGAAGTGGAGTGGACTTTCGGTGGCTCTGGTGTTCGGAGTTTGGCGTTCGGCTTTCGGCTTTATTTTCTAGCATTTCCCAATTCGCAGCGGCCTGTTATCGCACTTCACGTTACACTCTGAAAACTTTTCCCAACATTGCGCTTTTTTATTTAGCCTGCTCGCTCTTGCAATTGCTCCACGTCAATTAACAAAAAAATGCACAGCACTAGCAGCCCAGGAAAACCCGTGAAAAGTCAGTGAAAAATTAAAAGCACATGTGTGTTTCTGGCCTCGGACTTTGGCTGATCGATGATATATGTAAAAAGATAGAAAAACCCGACCACCATAATGACAGGAAGTGGCACTCTGGAGCCGAACGCTTTATATTTATTTATGAGAGGACTCAGGATGCGAAATCCCGCGACAGTAGTGAACACATTTTAATTGTCTTATTGCATTCCAGGGTTATCTCATCGCTTCTTCCATTTGCCATTTGACGACATAAATTGTATGTTAAAGCTAATAACTTACTTCCTTCCTGTATAAATTTGACCGGTTGCCGTTTGATAGTTTTTCTTTTTTACTGATGCGGTGGCGTATACGCAATATTGGGTGCGGGCCATGAGATACGTTAAATTGGATTCACTTTCTGTGCATTCAACCTGAACTGAATGGGCAAATTATCGGTTCATAGGAAATTTACCTCAACCACAAATTATGCTGAGCAAAAAAATATTTATATGTCCAAACTCCACTCCTTAAGTTGACAACCCAATAAACAGCGGACAAAGTATACAAGCAAAATTATGAAAACAATTAGGTGGCGGAAAATGTGAGTGGAATTTCCACGAAAGCCGAATGGCCTTTAGATTGTTTTGCGACTTTGCAGTATTGCAATAAGCTATAAACACTTTCATTTCTTGAAGACGAAAAAGAATACATAACTAGGGCTTTAAAATAATTTTAATTACAAGTTATCTGATTTGCAGAACTCAAAATATATGTTTGTATGTCACAAAATATTTTTATTCATATATTTAGTAAACTATAAAAATGCAAATAACTCTCCTTTAAAGGTTTTCCTGTAACGTAGAGTATTACCACTTAAAACCCCATGTGGTAGCTACCGCCCCCAATCGCAATTATGATGACCCATTAGTATATATTCGCTTGCCATTACATGAGTTGAGGTTTTCTTTTTATTTTTATTTATTTTGCCGCTGTTTACCTTCCTTCGCCATGTTTTCCTTTTGCTGTTTAACAAATTTACAGTTTGTTAACTGCGAGTGCTTAAGTATTATGTTTGGGCCAAGTTATTTCATGCTCATTTCGCGTTTTGCATTTATGCAGTTGCTATTGCAGTTGCAACTTCAGTTGGCAGTTGCAGTTTGCCCGTCTGGGCCCATTTCACTTTCGGTTAGATAACCGAAGTCCGGCAAGAGGTGGGGATTTTCGAAGCGGGAACTGCCCACGTAGGACTTAACCATTTGGCTCTACTTTGTCACCAGGGAACGGAGCAGTCAGGCAGTTGTAACCGTCTTGCCAACTTCCATTGTTTGTCTCGGCATTGTTCGGCTTAATTGTTTGGCGCATTTACAAATGAACCGCTTCTGACATAGTGACAGTGACCTCTCGTCAAGAGGAGGACCTAAAAGTTAACTCAGTTCACCCTTTTGTCGCAATATTAGATAATGGTTTGCCCTCAAGTTCGCAATGTGTTGTTATTTTGGGAGTCTGCTTGGGAGTCTGTTGAAGGCTTAGATTCAACGCTCCTGGGGTCAAGGCTGTTGCTCTGACTTAAGCCAGAGATTAGGGATCAAGTCTACATTGGGTCAAGAATTTGTAACGCCAATCAAGGTTTTTATTATTTAATTTGTTTTTGTTTATCGCCCCCCAGATAATAAAATCTTTACAAATATTGTATAATTAGTTCTGAAAACAGAAGCAATATGACATTTAAGAGCTTAGAATTTTTTTTAATCCGCAACTTGTCCTTGCTAAACTTCTTTTGGTGCCGACTTTTCCAAAAGTGATCTCCTGAAGATCACTCCATTTCAAGTTCGTTGCCTCAGTCTTTCGATTGGGCCATGTCAGAAAATGAAGTCAACGGTGCTGTTTTTTTACAGCAGTCGAACACGTTTAAGCCACCGAACTTAATGAGCCGCATTGCAGTTTTCGGATTGCCACATGTGGCCGATGCCGATGCCTCTCGAAACGCATTGAACCCCAGACACTCGTTTGTGGCCAAGAGGCTGTCATGAAGTGTCGGCAATGCTGCCGAAAAAAATATAAAATAAATTGTAACACAAAAAGAGCAGGAAAGAGAGCGCAGCACTCTTAGCCCCACGACTAAGAGCGAGCCAAAAAGACCCCACAAACCGCTCAAAATGCACCAACTCGACGGCTCTCCGGTGATTTCTTTAAATAAGCCGACGAAGCGATTTTCGAGCACAGTTCGAGCGAAGACGTTGCCGAGATTACAAGCCGCAGGTAAAAAAGCCAAGATCGGGAGGTTCGAATCGGTGAAAGAAAGTCGAGAGTGAAATTTTGTGCGCGCTCCAAACTGAAACCGCTGAAACGAATGCCGATGACAAAACAAACGTGAAGCGAAACGGTTCGAAATCGAAGTCGAAAAAGTGCGCCGGCCAAGTGCCAATTGCAAGTGGCTAAGTGAAGAAAGTTGGTGTGAAGAGGAGACAGCGAAAAAAACAACACAAGCCCAAAACCCGAGGACGTCATCGGTAAAAGTGAATTTTGATCTTGATTAGCCGCCCAGCTAATCCAAGGCCCAATTTTAGCTAATCCAACGAGAAGCACAGCCGCTCGAAATGAAGGTAAGTCCAAAGGATACCGCAGTGAAAGTTGATTCAAAAACTGGACTAATTTGGGTGTACATGGCTTGTAAATTCCCCCCTATATCTTGTTTATGCAATTTCTACGGCAAACAAGTTCAAGTGCAAGGCATTCTGCAGCGAAACCCGTTTTATGTTGGCCACACATCGCTGACTTTATTAGCTAAGCCCCCGGGCTGCGTGATGTCTATGGCGCTCTCCTATGAGATGCTTTCATTACGCAACCGGCGGATAACCCAAAAATCCCAATCGATGCCTCGCTGCACTCGAAAAGAGATGGATTTTGGTAGACCTTCAGTCGCTCGGAACCTTATGTCATGACTCGCAAGAAGCGATGACCATTTGACCGAGTGTAAAGGTAAATGTCGTGCATAATTATTATGTCAGACCCGCTGGCTTCTACTCGTCAGCGGGTTGCTTTCGAAAATCGTTAAGAAATTTGAATAAGCCCAGCTGGAGCTATGAAAAACGGAAGACGACGAAGCAGCTGAGGCGCGGCACACGTAGCGACAGTAAACGAGTTCGTAAACTGAACCTACCGCAATTAAATTATCAGTCGCAGTTATGGTAGTGAGTGGTGCCAATTTGTTTCTTAAAGTTATAAGAGTGTCGGCATTCTGCTCATCAGCCATTGAGCAATAGTATTCAGTATGCTAATTGCTTGTGAACACGGAAAAAGAGAGCGAGAGTATTGGACCCACAAAGCCGGCAAATACAACACTTTCACTCTCAGCCCAGACAAAATATTGGCCATAACAATGAGCAAACGAAAAAAAGAAAACAAAAACGAGCCATGCCGACCAACTAAAGAACCAATCAACGAGATGAGGGGAGGATGGCATCGGCAAATATTGGCCAATAGTTTAATGTGCCAACGAATTCAGGCGAATTTCGTACTCAGATTGCATTCCGTTAATTACTCAGTTGAATCATTATAATTAATTGTTTCCAACAAAGCCATATTGGCAATTAACTTTCAATTATTATTATTATTTCTGCCACTGTTCCATATTTGATTACGCAACCCCGAAGCGAAGAACAATATTGGTTTTGATTAATTAGTGCATTTGTATGCAGATTGCAGTGGGCCAATTGAATGGGCCATGGTAGAGCAATTTATGTATTGTATAAGAAACCGCAACATATTTGGCCAGTCATAATTGAGGTTGCGCCATTGCGGGGAGAAAGGCTGCCAATTTAATTAATATTTTTTAAGGCGGTTCCACTTTGGCCCAAATAAAAAACTAATTTAAAACGCATTTGTCAAAACTATCAATATCGCTTATTGAACATTTCTCAACAAATTCGTTCAGCCAAACTCCGATCAATTTCAACAAAATGATTCACATTATTTCTAAATGAGGCATTGCACCAATCGTTGCAATTCAATGATTCAATTCAAGTGTAATATCAAACAATCATTTCCTGTTACTTTTCATAAAATTGATTTAATTGTAATTTTTGCATGATTGTTTAATAGAAGGAAGTGGATGTATTCACAAAACGTAGGCAACAATTTGCCGGGAAATTATTGTGTTTAATTTTTTTAATAACTTGTTTGCAGATTACTGTGTTTTACTGACGGTTTTAGCAGACAAAAATCAGTTTTGAAATAGCTTTATATCGATTTTGATTAACAATAGTTATTATTTTGAATACTACATAGTTTAAACGAAGTCATAATAATTTCCACAACTTAAACAGTTTGCCGAATGCGTAAGCCACCAATATGCATTTTACCAGCTTGATGGGTCTTGTCAAAATCAAAGCAGATTTCAAATTGGGTATGACTATTACCCCCTGCCACGCCTTTCTTTCAATTAGGCCAAAATCGCTCGACTGTAAAACAAGTAATTTAGGGGAAAGGATGGGGGGTCTTAGTGGGTTTGCATACGCAGATCGAGGATTACGAGCTACATTTGTATCGGCGGTAAGTGGCAGATTATGATTGCACATGGTGTGCGTGTGTGTGCGACAGTTGACAAATGAGTGCACAGATGTGGCAAGCGGGCGAAACCACTAAACAAAAACTAATGGTGGTGCAACCGCCGCAGCGACACATTTCGGCAATTGAATTTTCCCCGTTGTCTGTGGCCATTGTTAAGGCTGTCACGTAAATTTCATACAGATTCCTAAACATATTGCGCAACTTTGTGTCATCTTAGTTAAGTGGTTTTAATTTGGGTGATCTTTTTTTTATGTTTTTATTTTTAAATAATTTATATATTTAAATCCCAAACAGGTCTTCAGACTGAGTCTACTCCTGGTGGCGGCCCTGCCTCTGATGTGCCACGCCCTCCCCGCCACGGATAAATCCCTCTCGCTGGAGGACACAGATCTGGACAACGAACCCGGCGAAAGTGTAAAGGAGTCGCAGGTGCAAAAGCGATCCGGCAGCTTCGATTATGTGGCGCACTTGAAATCCGGCCTTCTGTCCGGAATTGGCCAGGCATCCGCCTCGATCGCCTCCGGCAGTTCCGGCGGAAGCAGCGGAGGAGGGGACAGCTACAAGTCCCACGAAATTGTTGTCCATGTAAGTCGAGAGCCACATTTCCACGACCTGATTTAGCCGCTGGGGCTTTCCCACTTTTCTCTAAGCAGCGCAAATCAATAGACAGATTAGTCGATTTTTTACATATTTTTAAAAATTATAACAATTATATCTAATTCGTTTCCAGGGAAACTCGGTGGACTATGACCCTTGGTCGTTCAAGAAGTCCGTGCTGAACACCATCTTCCAGGCGGTCAAGGCCATCACCGGCGGGGTCACCGCGCTCAAGGGTCAGCTGATCAAGGGCAGCGGCTATGCGTTGAGTGCTGGAGGCAACCTGGTGGCCGCCGGCGGAGACAAGGTCACCGACGTGGGCAAGTCGATCATCAACTCGGCGCACATCAACTCGCACACCTACGCCACTAGTCACTCCTCCGGCGGCGGCGGTCTGTTCGCCAAGCTTACCTCCTTGTCGGGCGCCTCCTCCGGCGGCAGCAGTGGCCACAAGACGGTCTCCGCTCCCGGACCCGTCGTTCACCACGAGAGTAAGTACACCCAGATAAAATATCTCTGAAAAACTGGCCAAGTGAGTCCCCTCATTATTAAATGAATAATTAAATGAATTGATAATCAAAAGTATTTATATTCATGAAATAGCTTTAGGGGTTACAAGTTTTTATCAGCAAAATATCAAATATCATGCAAAGCAGCTAACCCAAAAATCAAAGTAGATCAAGTTTAGGTAAAATCAGTGTAAAGTAATTTTTTTTTTCAAAATTTGTGTTAAATGAATCGATGGTCATATGATGACTGGTATAAGTTACTTTTTCAAACATTTTTGTTACGAAAATATTTATTAATGTCAAATGAATATAATGCTTTTTGCAATTAAAATACTGCAATGACTGACTCTCGGCAAGACACTTTTAAACCCTACTCTTTCCATAAAAATTGGACTAGGTCGCGTATCACTTATTTAAATACTTGTTGCATATTACCATTGTCCGATGGGCCGTGAAATCCAAAACATATTGTATTTCGCTTACGTAACGCAGCTGCTGAACTAGATGCATGACAATTAAGCCGCCTAATAACCAACACAGCCCCACCTGGCCAAAACGGAAGAGTCAATATCCAGCTCCGATTTGGTGGCAGCTCCAATGGCCAAATCAGAGCGTAAAGCGAGCAATGAACCTGGCCGGCAACTTTCGTTTTCGCCAGCAACTCGTCCCGTCGGCGTCTGCGTTCCATTTTGGCTCACTGTCTCCGCATTTGTCTCGTTGCAGCGATCACTACGTACGAGATACCCACCGGCCACGCCAGTTATGGTCCTCCCTCGAAGCCCCCATCCTACAGTAGCGCCACCCACCAGTACTTGCCGCCGGTGGGCGGGGCCAGCTACAGCGGCGGAGCGCCCTTCAGCGTCAGCCACCCGGCGGCCTTCGAGTCGCCGCCCAGCAATTATCTGCCATCGGCCTACGGACAAGATGGTGCGTAGCAACCAAATTGGTTAAAAACTGTTCAAAATAAAACAAAACTTATTGGGGGGAGGTCCTGTGTAATCTTCTCTGTACATACTCTTCCTCACTAATCAGGGTTATGGGTTCTTAAGTCATTCACATCACTAGCTTAAGATAAGATATGTACATATATTCTGTAAATATATATTCCATTTTGTAAATATGATTTATTTAAATGCTATTAGAATTTATAAAGTTTAGGTTTCTAAGATTTTGAAACATAAGATGAGAAGTAATAGTATCAACATTCTCAACCTACACTTATTCTTTTTTAAAGGACAACAATAGATGTTTGTAATTATGTTAAAATTTCATAAACATAGTTTTTATTTGCACCTGTATATAAGTAATTTTAAAAGAAATATTATACACATCCATGAGAGCATCCCAAAGATAACAATGACAGGCTGGCCCTGTCAACTTGCAATGGCAAATCACTCAACTTCATTTGCATACTCAAATAGCAAACTCCTGCCTTCTCCGCCCTTTTTGCTACCCTCATCTCATTTCCGCACGTAGCAAGCAACGAGAGGAAAGTGAAAGCACCGTCATCAGTTGCTCATAATTCGTGAAGACGCAGCAGAAACCCAAAGAGCCATTGTAAATACTGTAAATATTAACACTACCAGTCGAAATCTCTCCTTCTCCGAACATTGCCTCTCCATTAATATATGCGTAGGCCCCTGGAACTTGATCCAATGGCACATTTCCTAGGCTAAGTTTATTCGGTTTTTTAACACATTGCGCAAGCGAACATAAATCGATTCATTGTACATAAAAACATTCAAACATGTATCCATAAGCCATCACGTCATCCATGTATCCGTTAACATCCTATAGTACTTAAGCGAATTGTACAGATATTAATCGAGCCATTTGCAGTGGCCACATGTCGCATACTTGATAAAAGTACGCATACGCATTTAGTCAGTGGCCCATTAAAGAGTCTTGCGAAAACCTTCGACGAAACTCAGTTTATCGACTCTTCTCATCCACCTAACCAAAACTAAAACCGGAATTCATCTTTGTACGATCATCATGAAAATCATCCAGAAGGCAGCCCAAGAATGTACAAAATGTGTAAAGTAAACCAATCATTTTGTATAAAAAGAAACTAAAGACATTTAACACCAAAAGCACACTTCACACAGAAAAAATATATTTTAAAATACTTACAAAAAATCATTGTGAATTTAAAAAGAATTCAATTTTAACATAATTTAAGAAGAAAATATTTTTTTTCTGTGCAACCAAAAACAAGTACATTTACAGACAAAACACATTGTAAATACCCAGACATAAAACGCAAATATTTAATTTGGTAAATCTAATGAAATCTCACTCATTGCATACACACCTCGACAACAACAACACCATCACAACAAACAACCACATACACCCACCCACTCGAAACAACAACCTCAAACGGCAGCGGCCAGTGCAAATAGCAATGACTTTAATATCTACGGACGGCACACCAAACTGACGGATGAGGAGGCGCGAAAGGCGGCTCTGCAGCTCCAGGAGATCCTCAGTATGCTGCCCAATGGGAAGACGGAGTACACGGCCTCCAAAACGGTGGCTCTGGACACGAGTTCACCCACGGGTTCGGGTTTGGAGCAGGCGGAGGTGTACAATAGCTATGGCATTCCGCTGCCCAACAATCTGGGCACCTTGGAGTCCCTCTCGCACACCGAATCCATAACGGCTGCCTACAATCCCGCGGCGAAAAACCCCGCCGATGTGTACCACCAAATGGCCAAGAGACCCTCCGCCGAGGAGCTCTACATTCAGAAGCACCCCAACGAGGGCTACGACTACCCACCACCTTCTTCTACTGGCCACGCACCTGCACCACCGCCACCGGCTGCCAGTGACTACCGGGTGGAGAACTACCATGCCAGCAAGAGCAGCGCGCTCAAGGATCTGACGCCCATTATAGCCGCCTTGGAGGTGGCCAAGAGGAAGGGCAATGGCCATGGCAGTGGCCCAGTTTACTCGATCGAGAAGCAGGTGCACAAGCAGCAGTCGCCGCACTTCCAGTACCTGCCGCCGGTGGTGCAGAAGTCCAAGTACGTGTACAGTGCACCACCGCACCACCAAAGCCACAGCGGTGGTTACAAGGTGCGCCGCCAGGTGGCGCCTGGCAAGCAGCCGAAGCGAGTTTTCCGGCCGCAGGACTACGAAATACAGGATCCTCTGATGTTCAACCGACTGATGGAGGTTTAGGGGATCGAATGTAGTCCTTAGCTATTATTACTCTAAGTCATGTGCAGCATTTACCTATAACTTATTTATGTTCTCGTTATCGCAATCGTTAATCGTAATACATTATTTATTGAGCTTCCCAGACATGGCTGGCAATAAAGCGAGCCACAGATACTGCATCCGAAACAAAACAGAAATCCAAGCACAGCATGCTAGAAATGAAACCCCAGCACCACCAATCACTTTCTTCTCTTATCGCACAACCACTTTCCTGCGCCGTTGCACCACCCAAACTGAATCGGGAACCCTTCTCACCTCTCACCGCTCTCTTTGCAGTCTACCATCAGTAGAGGACGATGCGGAAGCTGTGGACCACGCCCACTTCGGTTACACCACGCCCACTGTCCATCTCCACGTATCCTAGAGTTAGTCAAAACGTTCCTGCCTATTTCGAATCTATCTGCTGTCACTCCCCTCTCATCCTATAAACATTTCCGATCCGAAATCCCCTTCTCCAGGGCCTCACAGAACTGCAGTTCTCATTGATTACAATTGCTCCATTTTTAGCTTAAGTATTTAAATTAAATAAATCGTTGAACACAAGCTATGGTTTTTGTTTTCTTGCTGCCAAAAAGTAGGCTTTTCAAAATAATAAGCCATGTATTGATTATGTAGATTACTTTGTCTAAGGTAAAAGTCAAACGACATAAATGTATTTTAAGTTGTTAATTGTAGTTTTGGAAAATAACTTTCAGATTACCACCACTTTATTCTGAAGGAACAAAAGATCCGAAACACAATCAGAATATCAGTGAGGTGATATCAAATTTGTTTAATTAAATTTTGTTTTGCTTTATGTTCATGCCTCATTTTAGTACAAGCCTAAAAGTTGGTAACAAAATTGACTACAAACTCGTTAAAAAATAGCTTATGAACAGAAATCCAAATCATACATTTTGCAGATCCAAGTTCAAGCATGGAAAACTTAAGGCACAGAAAATATTTTAATTTATTAATGGGAGTTTTTATTATCGCTTAGAAAATCTCGGGGACAGGCACACCTGTGCGATTAGGACCTGGAAGCAAGGAATCTCTGGATACTTTAGGAGAAACAAGGGTTACTGCAACCACCCTCCATCCGACGTGCTCAGTAGTAGCCGAAGGTGATGTCGTGCAGTGGTTGGGCATTTCCCTGGGGCAGGGCGTAATCCCGGGCCAGCTGATCTAGCAGTCCGGAGCCACCTCCTCCGCCACTGCGGGCCTGGGGTTGCGGCTGTGGCTGGTAGCTCGGCTGCTGTTGCACGGGACGAGCGATAGGTCCCTGGGACTGGCCCCCAAAGCCAACGGGTTCCAGCAGCGGTCGTCCTCCGGAGGCGGGAGCCAGGAATCCCTGAGCTCGAGCGCTGCTTGGAGCAGGGGATGCGGGGGGCAGGGCGTAAACGGGCCGGGAGATCCGCACATTCGAGGGTCCTTCGCCGAAGCTCTGCGACTGCGAGTAATCCGGTTCCGGGCGAGCGGGACGCTGCAGCGGGGAGTACAGCACATCGGTGGTGCGCTGGGCACCGGGAACTTGGATCCTAGGAGGCGCTGGACCCACCGAAGGTTGGTGGTGCGGCTGGGGAAGATGTTGTGGTTGTGGCTGCGGCGGTGGTGCATACTGAACCCGACGCGGTGGCTCCTCCTCCTCCTCGTACTGCACATACTGCGGCTGTGGTTGCGGTTGTGGGCGTGGCTGTGGGCGGGGCTGAGGACGCTGAACACGCTATTAAATGTTAGCCTAAGCTGTTTAATTACTTGAGGAAGTGAATGGATCAACTTACGAAGGGTTTCTGTGGTCGCTGCGGTACGGGCTCATCCGCGTAATCTGGTTCCTCCTTAGCAGTCTCGTCCACCAAAGTGGGTGGTGCCACAGTGATGCCCTCTCCGGAGGGCTGGAAACCGTACTTATTGGCTCCGTACTCCACCACACGCACCTTTCCAGTCTCGTCCACATATCCGTATTTGCCCTTGACTTCGCCGGTGGCTAACTTGGTTTCGATTTTGAAGGAGCCATCGGCACCTTCGTAGCCATAAGTGTAGGAGCCATCTTCGTTGTGCCTGAAGCGTAATTGTTTGTTTAGTACAACTCCAGAATCTGTTCCTAAATGGATATTACTTGTTAATCTGCTTGAGAATGGCCACAGGATCAGCACGTGGCGCTTCGGCGCGGGCAGGAGCCGCATTTGCTCGCAGGCGGAGTGGAGCTGTCCTTGGTGTGTTCTCCTGGTAATCCTGGTAGTCCTGCGACCTCACCATTCCCACTCCCACTAACAGGCAGCTGACAAAGAGCACGCGTTGCATCTAAAAAATAGGAAAATCACATTAAAGTCAGTTATGTTTGTGCTGATGGAACACAAATTCGTTTCGCTTCAACTAGTGAAATGGCAACCGGTTCGCTAATTGCACCCTGTCCACCAAAGGTTGGATTTGCAGCTAGCCCCTGGCCAGCGGAACACCTTGACAGTGCATCGGTGTCTGAGTGGTGCCAAGAATGCCAGACGGCAACGATGTCTACAAAAGTCTTAAGTCAGACTGCCTTTCACTTTTCCGCCGGCCAATGACACCCTCAATGCCAAGCAGGAACAGATAGCCCGGATTCAGTTGCATACACTCAAAGAAAAGGGTACAGAGCTACTGTTCATAAAAAAAAATCAAATCAAAATCAACTTAACTTTATGACCACATTCTGTTTTGTTGAGTTAATGTCTTTCTTTTTTAGTGCCAAGTACTTTAGATCAAGAATGATAGAAATGCAAATTAAATTAAATGTGTATTTTCTAATTATAGCCTGGCAAGGCTCATGTTAAATAAAAAAAACTGGAAAACAATCGCTGAATAACTGAATAATTTTGTGATTCCTGATAACCCTTCAAACTTGTGACTGATTAAGGTATCGCTTCCTCAAGTGCAGCATCCGCGGATAAGTTGCATAAAGGCCGAGCCCAGCTGAAAACCCAATCCCGTTGACACGCGATGCGGCAGCCCAGCTGGATGGGCTGGAATTAATTGAATGCCCAGCGGTGGCATGGAGAAATGATGCCGGGAACGAAGACGTCGGCGAAGTGGCCGGGGAAATGCCAATTATCGCTGGCCAGCCCCGCGACTCCCACACTGCGCACACATCGCAGCTGCAATTGGGTAATCCGGCAGCAAATTCGAGGGGAGACAAAGCCAAAAGAGGCGCACAAATTATGTATGGGAAGATGGGAAAAAGTTCCCACACTTGCCGAAATGTGTTGCAAGTATGAAGCCGCGGCAGCGATCCAATGCATTCGAGGCATGCAAATGCCAAAGAAATTTGCGGGAAATTACAGCAACAGAGGAGGAAGCCAAGGTGGCTTTTATAACATAACCCTGTGACATTCCACGTTGGCTTGTGTAGATTTTTTAGGTAATAAAGATTGTCTTTTCAATTTGCTTTCCATATTAAATAAGGAAGCATTAGCAGTGATTTCAAGCCAAGCAATAGCTCACGTTGAATCATATCAGAAGGTGTGTCAATTGGTTTATATTAGACTTCCTGTGCAAACTTGATTCCCTTGAAAAATCCTGAACCGGAAAGTTAAGCTCCCACAGATTCAACTAGAACAATGGACTGTAAAGTTTGCGTGGTCGTTTATATGTAGGTATCATCCAGACCGACAAGAGCGCAATCAATTTCCGATGGCTTTGGTTTATGTGGCGTTAACTCCTTTTTGGCATTTCGGACTTTGGTTTTTACGGACTGTTCAGAGCATTCCGCATGCCAAAACCTTTCACTATCTAGGCTCCGTGTGCCGCAGCCTTGGCGCGGACAGGTGGACGGACAGGTAGTTAGATACAGGCACAGATACAGATACAGATACAGCTGCAGACACAGATGCGGATACATCCAGGCCACGACAAGCTCGGGGGACCCAGTGCTCCGAAACCAGCCAGAAACTGACCAAAAAGCTGGCTGCCGCGTGTGAACTGAGACAAAGTTTGCCTTTGATATTTTCGCGCTGAACTGGACGGGGGGAAAACTGTGCTGGCTCGACTTGAAGCGAGCTTGTTAGTGCAACTTGTGCTGATTGAGGTTCCTGAGACTTATTTTTTCTCAAGAAGCTGCGTTGTTCATAAATTATGTCAAAATCCAGTTACCAAATTGGGTGCCAAGTGGAGTGGATTGGCGAACTGGATCGGGCACAAAGAGCTGGAAAATGTCGCTTGTAGCCAAGCTGAACAATTGTGATCGGGGCTGGGAGCAAATTAACGGTTCGCTCGATTTGCATAGCAAATTATGCGATATTTGCACAACAGTCGCCGCAAACTCGCTGACGTAAGTTTACAGATCAGTAACTCCCCTCCGTAGATCCAGGGATCTATATTCGTACACCCCTTTTTGAGCCACGCATTCAGGCTTGCGAACGACCTTTGCCATTTACCACCACCCACCGTCATAGGTATATATCCGCCCACTCACATACCACTTTCATGTTGGCTGGTATCCGCTGATTGGCTTTTGTGGGGCCAGCTATTTCGAATCGATTAAGCCCTGAATGCAATCGCAAAAGGCCTTCGCTGGCAACACCCAGCTGAATATCGACTGTCGAAGACAATAAAAGCACTTTCAATTTCAATTCCAAATCCAATTCCCCTAATGAACCGGGTGACTATCTCGAGCAAATCGGCAATATCTTCGGACCGACTTCGGGGGAGATCGCGTGGAGTATTAACTTGGGACCGACGGCAACTGAGTCGCCCAGGTTGTTGTATTTCGCTTTATATACCGATCGCGGAAAACCTTTTTACCTCTCCCATAACGGACCAAAGGCCCCATTCCCCACTGCACCACCCGGCCACCAAGCCACCGAACCACACCAACGGCCGCAGCACCACAAAACTTCACCAACGAAAGGACGGAGAGCGGTCGAGAGTGGCGCTGTTTCTCTGGAGAAAAAGATGTGGAGATATAGAGAGAGAAGCTGCGGAGCTTGAACGAGCTTGAGGCAGAGATTTCCACGGGAGTTCTCTCTGTGCTTTGGCGAGCTTTTCTTGGCCAGCACCACAGGAATGGCCAAGAATGGTCAGTTGGAAAGAAAGGGAAATTAATTACAGGTTAGCATTCACTTGGCCGCTGAAACCACTTTTTCGTTTTATACGTTTTTTGTAAAGGAAAAACTAGCAAGTAACTTTTTTACTCTTTAAGAAACTTTAATTTTAATATTTTATGTGAAAGAAAAATCACTCTAAACTCCACTCAAGTGCTTTCCAAAATTCCGTTTCAATTGCCTCAGCCAGTTTTCCTCGGACTCCCCACTAATACAAATTGAAATATGTACCCACTTGTTGCCATTTAATACTAGGCAACAATTTAATAAATTTAACAAATTACTTTCAAAATCAGGGCGGAACCCTTACCCTAACCCCGACCTTCCATGTGCTATGGCAACTAGCCTCGTTGGGATGTGGCCATCCACGGACAATTAATCAAAACTGTGAGGCCCATAAATTGTAAAAAATGAAGCTAAGTCGTCAGGCCGAGTGGCTAATGAATGAACGAGCCAACAAAGTGAAATGAAGTGTTGCGAATTCGGCCAGTAAATGCCAGTCCTCCCAAGTTGGCTAACTGGGAGGTCCCTTTGCACCTGGCCTTAATGGTGTTATTCTGTGATTTAACCTGTACAGTATTAAATTTAAGTTAAAATATCTCAAAGCAAGAATTTTTCAAAAGTGAGTCACAAAAGAAAATTATTTACAAAAATGTTAAAATATTTCACACGGTAAATCCGCACATCTATGTATAAGTGAAGTCTTAGTTTCTTATATTTGTTTGTAAGTTTATTTAATCTATTTAATTTGTAGTCGATTTTAACTATATTACTGATGTATTAACCAAAGAAATATGAAATAGGTAAGTCGTAGGGAACCACCAAGCTGTGCAATCAAAGGAATTTAAAGACCGTTTTCTCGGCGGCCCAACGGTGCGTATGCTTGATGTTATTTTATGACAGACTCAGAACCAGTCAGCGTGTCACTTTCAGAGTATTTGTGCACTCAACGCCTTCGACTGCGCTTTACTGCAGCCATTCGAAATGGCCTTGCCGAAGTAATTCCATAGGAATTAACGACACACCACAAGTGGCACTCCGTTATAGCAAAACAGGCACATGGACAAGCCAGAAATGCAACCCGTGATAGTTCAGCCAAAACTGGTTAGCCACTGCACCACATACCAGACCAGGAAACCGCCAGCAATTGTCTACCCCTGTGGCCCCCCCTGTATTTCTGTATGCCCCCTTCAAGCGCCGCCCATGACGCAGGGCGGTTTCAAGTCTCCAAGTGCGTGAGATTGTTATTTCGCTTGTCGGCCTTTTTTCCTGAATACATCACATTAAAGACTTGTTTCTGTCCGGCTTTTGTTCGTGGGAAGCGGACTGGGGGGCAAATGGGCGTGCACCTGAACTTGTGCGCATGCGTAGACGCACTGGCATGATCAAGGTCGAACGAGTTCGCGAAATTAATATCACACGAACTTCAAATGCTCTTCAGGGATATGAAAACAAAAACAAAACAAAAATAAGTTAATTAATAATCAATATTAATAGTTATGGTTCTTCTTGGCAATGTATAAGTATACCTTTTCATATTTTTTTTTACAATATCACTGGCTCTATACTTTATACAGCTTAGACACAGCTTAGAATAGAATTTTGGCATCGTTGCAAAAGCTTTGTGCTCAGCTTGCAAGAAGTGCAAGAGGAATCTCAGACATTCGAACAAGGATTCAGCTTATGGCACGCCAACACATTTTTGAATGGCAACCATAACAATCCCATACTTACGAATGATTGCCTCCTCAGCTGCTGCAGAAAATGTAGTAAATGCAGCAGCTGTTCGCAAGTCAGCTAAAAGAAATCATACAATTTTTCAGGAAATTCTTGAGTCATGCCAACGCCCCAGCAGCAGCAGACCAGTTTCACAGTTTTGCTCTGCAAAATTATATAAACGCTGAAAAATACAAATAATTCCAAACTTGTAGTGTGTGTCTGTGCATTGCTTTATAGGAGGTGGAGTCTGGACTTGATTCTGCGTTGGTGCTGCAAGCAAAATGTTTTCAATTTCGACTTGGCCAACATGCACAGTGGTAAACAATATTCGGTTTTTACTATTTTTAGAAAATCCTAACCGAAAATAAATCAATCAATCTTTATTCAATTAAATTACATAATTAAAAGCTCATTAAAGCTAACGAACAGATAAGTACCTCAGTGAGTTAACCCCTCTGTTTGCGGCTTACTCGGAGTATTCCGAGGGCAACTGCCAATTAGCCAACAAGCCTTAAACCACTGCTGCCTGTTTCTCGCAGGCCACACACCCAAAAGACAAAGGCTGTGGTTCCAGCACCCAGCACATAGACCATAGTACACGGCTTATGGCCAACTGGCCATTGGTGGAGGTGCATTTGAAAGTGGTTTGGGGCCAGCACATTGCATAAGTGCACCAAATTCCAGTCAACGGCAAATCCACTTTGGTTTTCTATCTGAATCGGCGCACTCTTGGGTTTTTCTGTTTTTTTTTTTTTTTTTTGGTTTTGCTCGATCATTCTGTGTTGACGTAATGGCCTAACGATTATTGCCCACTTGCTGGGCTCTTTGGCTTTATTTCTTTGGCTTGATTTTGCTACAATTTCGGTTGCGGGGTGGCTTAATTGAAGCGGAACTTGGTAGTTGGCCAAATTGAATGCCAAAGCAGATATTTGAAATATTTCTGGCCACTGAGAATAATTAATGAACCAATTAAAACACAAGTAATTGATTAAGAGTTTTAATGTGCAGATAGGTTTCATTCTTCTTTTAGTAATCCAAAATTGAAACTTTGAAATTGACACTAGCTTTTGTGGTAAGATTTGTAAAATTCGATATTTAACCTTTTGACTTTTAAAACCTTTTGACTTAAGAACACTTTTGTTTTCTCTGTAAACGCTTCAGGTCTCGAAACTCGATTTATTACACACATACAAAACCATATATAAACAGTGTATAGTACATTATAGATACATGTGGGGTGTGCGGAGTGACTGATTTATTTGGCAGTAACAAGTTGACGTTGTCCTCGGACACTTCAGTCGCTGGCTCGTGGGCCCAACTCAAAGGCGATCCCCCCTCCCGTCCAAAGGTCCTTTCTTCTTCCTGCTTCCCACTTCCTACTTCCGGCCCGTATAGTCGATGCTGTACGATCCCGTGTAGAGGTTCAGGTTCCGGAGCGAGGGATGGTGTTGCTCGGGCAACCCGGCGTATGGCCGGTGCTGCTGGGGATTGTAGTAGTTGTTCTGGGCAGGCGGCTGGTAGTAGCGGGGCTGCGGGGCGGGGGGATTGTAGTACTGGGGCGCTGGGCTGTAGTAGGGTCTCTGGGGGGCGGGCTGCTGGGGGGGCGGGGCATAGCCCTGCTGCTGGCCACGCCCGAAGTCGTTCAGACTGAACTTGCTGGCCGGGGCCAAGGGGCGATTGAACTTCTGGTCCTTGTAGTACACCGCCGGATCCTCGCGGTACTGGCCATCGTCCAGCTCGTTGGGTCCCAGCGGATAGGGATTGCTGTTGGTCAGCGTCGGAGGCGGCACATTGATGTGGCTGCCGGCGGGCTCGAATCCCCGCTTGCTCGCTCCGTACTCGATTTCCCGCACTTTTCCCTGGTCATCCACATAGCCGTACTTTCCATACACCTCGCCATTGGCGTACTTTGTCTCTATCTTGAAGCTCTTGTCCGCCGCCTCATAACCATAAGTGTAGGATCCGTCGTCGTTGTGCTTGTCGATCTGCTTCAAAATGGGCACCGGAGTGGTGTAGTCCTGGTGTTGCGCATACGCACCGTGGGCCGCCAGCAGCAGAAGCGCCAAGTTCAAAGGCTGCAAAACAAAAACAAAGAGATTCAGCAAAAAGTCAAACTTGTTTGCATGTCTTATTCACTATACGAGTCACACGCAACTGTAAAAGCTGCAATTATTTACGAACTGTACTTTGTTTTATTGCCTTACTTTCAGCTAAATACCTTAATTAGTTGCCGCGATTATCAGTACGCAAACATTCACTCAAGGACATGGCTGACTAATGCCCAGCAATTAAGCTACATTTTATCATAGACACTGATCTGATCAACCCAGCGCCAACCGGTTAGCTAAATTCCATTCTAAAATTCACTGCGCAAATTCGTATAACACCTTGCGCACTGATATTGATATAGAGTCTTTTGGTTGCCACACTTTCAACGACCTTGCTGCGCATCTTACCAATTTCATCGTTCTGCCAAGTTTAGAACAAACAATCAATGTCGAACCGTTTTCACCAATCTCTTATTGGGTAATGCACTGCCAAAATGGAAAACACGCTCTGCACTTGCACTCGAGACTCTGCGAATCGAAACGACAAACTCAAAAGAAAATCAGGGCGTGCAACGCTTTTTATACCACAGGCAACATTTCGCAAAAGCGGGCCAAGAGGGGGAAAGAAACCATGGCAGAAAAATAAGCTTCGAACTGAAGTGGAGCCGAAGTCTCTGGATCTGGCGATCAGCTGCGATCAGAAACCGAAAACGCAAGCCGAGGCCCGAACTCCCGATCCGAGAACCGATCGGACTTGGCTTGGAATGCAGCATAGAAATCGAAAGCGGTCGGCAGCCAGCTGGGCGTGAGTTCATGAGCGATATACCCACTCACTCGCCTCTACAGGTAATGTTCGCTGCCCGACGAGAAGCAATTTCCAATCAGGTTATAAACGTCTACTCGAATTCTTGGCGAGCAATTTATGCTTCCAGACCGCACCATTCACGCATACGCAATGAGATCAGGAATCAGTGACGACGAGAACTAGGTACATATTCTATGCGTACTTAATCTAGGTACATTTCGATTCTAGAATACCAAAACCATTTACAAAATGATTAAAAAGATATCTTTAAATCCTAATCAATTTTTTTTTAATATATCCTTAACCTTCTCTTACTAAGCTTTTGTTTATTGACCTTAACTTTGATATAATGTAGCACCACTTGCCATCTCTGAAAACCACAATCCAGAACTTAACAGAATGCCAATACTGAAAGGTGCGGAAGTGCTGCACTTGTTTGGCATTCCAATTATGCAAGACAATTCCCCCTCAGCTGCTAAACGATTGCACTAACTTGGCCAGACACCTTGCTTCCAGCTAAATGCAGTAACCAATAACAATCTGCAACCGCAACAAGCAATTTGACAGTGGATTTGAGCTTTTCTCCTGTGCTGTCAAAATTCACACTTGAGATTTGGAAAAGAAAGAAACACGAAAACTCAAATGCTGGTATACTGACCTAGTCAATGCTTAAGCCAAGAAAACTGGTTGCTGGTTACGTCAAAGAAATGCCAAAATAGGCGATATTTTTTACTAGTTGTCTTTTGATATTTTATATGTAATTAGTTGGGTTATAAGCACAGCAGCGGACGAAAAAACTGGATGTTTATATAGGGTAATCCTAAATATTAAAAACAATTTAAATTGACTTATCAAATATTCAGTTTCCATTTGCTCACAACCGGTTAAAGTAGACAAACTCCCAAGATCATTAAGAAACTCCCCAAACCACAATTAGTGAAGCTTTAATTGTCCGCCTACATTAGATTTTTTTTGTAGTTAGTCCAAAATTTTGGGGATTTTTAGCCATGTGACGATTTTCTAGATTTAATCGGATTTTAGTCCACAGACAAAAACATCTTTATGTATTTATTACTATAAATTGTATTTAATAAAAACGCAAATATGCCACGTATTAAGAAAATAAAGGGTCAAGTGTTAGGGTGAAAAGTTAAACAATAAATGGGTGTATAGTACATAACAATCTTAATTTGTTTTCTGTGTACTCACCTTTATCAACTAGACACAAAACCTCGAGTTCATTAACCCAGACACCACAGACCTTGGTTATGGTTGCATGCAACTAAGTACATTCAGTTGGCTTCTTTTACCCAGTTAAGTATGCATCTATGCAAAGGTAATTTCCAGAAGTGACGATCAAAACTTATCAAAATTCAAGGGAGACCTACAAAACCACATAAATCCGTCAGCATTCGGTTTGCAGTCGTCACAGTGAGCCGACAATTCTTAATGGTCTTGTAAAACCAGTTCAGCTTTAGCGAAAGTGAGATAATCGCTGGTTAGAACATACAGATAAATATTAAGATATACGTACATATGTATAAGCATTTATATGACACCTCTGCTTCTTACATCTGGAAGTGGCAAAGGCTAAGTAATAATGTCAAGTTTAATGCATTTTCGGGTTAGTATATAGTATCAGATGACTCGAATGATTTAGGCACCCTGTACGACCACAACAAGTCTAATGCTGACAAACTCGTTTACTTACTAATTGTTCCGAAAACAGAGATGGAATAAATAAACTAAATATATAAAACAGCAAAACAAAGAAATGATTTTAAAAGTTGTACATTTAAGCGGTTCGTTTCGAATAAAATTACCAGACACCGGCCAGAATCGTCATTTAAATCGGTGCATTCAAAGCAAACAGTTCTAGTCATCCATTGTGGATAAAAAATTTCGAGATGCTCATCAAAGTGGCCAAGTTCCTGAGCCTTTTTGCCGTTCTCCTTTCGGTTGCCGAAGGCGCCAAGTATCTGTCCGAGAAACGTAATAAGCAGTGTTCTTTTCAAGTGTTTAAATAAATCAAGTGTATTTAATATACTACTTTTAGCTGACTTCCTTAATCCTTGTGTTGTTGGCGATTCCAACTTCAATGGCTGTCTGACTAGCAACTTCCAGACTTTCTTTCGCCAGTGGAAGGACGGAATCCCTGGCAACAATGCCGTAGGATCCTTTGATCCCCTCTACATCAAGCGCGTAAAGTTCGCCCAGGATGCCAGCAGAGCTATAGCCATTAATGCCGATCTGAAGGAGGTCTATGTGGCAGGTGCTGGCCAAGCGATCGTAAAGGAAGCAAGGTACGAAAAATATAAATACAAATATTCTTTATACATAAAAAAATTATCGTAATTTTTAATGAACTCTTCAGCTGGGATCCCAATCACTATGTGGCCAAGGCTTTGATCACTGTTCCCAAATTGCGTTTTAACTTCGAGTACAAAGTGAAAGGACATGTGGTTGCCCTGAATCTCAATGGGCATGGCAATGGCTACTTCGAAGCCGGTAGGGAAATTCTCTAAATATGTTAAAAAAAATTTTATTTGAAATAATTGTTTTATGCAGAGCATCCTCTTATACATCTGGAAATGGCTGTCAAGCCCCTGTCCACAGCCGAGGCCATTTTTGCGGACGTACAGAGTGTAAAGGTCTCCTTCCGCGAGATCAAACAATTCCGCATTAAGCTGGATAATCTATTTGGTGGCAACAAGGATCTGGAGGACACAGCCCACACACTCTTCAACGAGAACTGGCGCGATTTCTACGAGGTACTGCGTCCCGCTGTCGAACAAACTGTTGGTGGAGTGCTCCTGGATCGATTCAAGAAAACGTTTGCCTTCGTCCCAGCCACCTACTTGATTAAGAACTTCCACTGAAACCACCTCTAAATTTGGTTTAATTATTCACTTGTGATATATTTTTCTATCAATATTAAATAAGATGTGAAAAATATTATAGTTTGCTAGACATTTTATTCAGAAAATATACGAGTCATTTTTGGTGATAATTCCTATTGAAAGGTTAATTCACTTGTTCACACCTTTTCTTACCTCTCACGTATCTATTATTATCTTCTTTTCAAAATGACATTTTTTTTTTTTGATATTTTTCTGACAATCTCTTTCTGTGGCCAATTTCGTCATTATTCTTTCTTTGTAACTCTAGACAAAGAATAATTTGAATATACGCATTTTAAGTAAGGAAATAGAAGAAATAGAGTTAATTAAATTAAGCGAAATGAATTGCACTTGGCCCCGGCATCATTAAGTTGCTGTAAGTCGTTAGCCATTTTGAGAGCTCGGTTCTCGGATCGTGAATCTCGGATCTTGGCAGTCGAGAATAAAACTCCGGACCTCAGCCAGATGCTTGCTAGTCGGTTTTATATCGTGGCACCGTTTGATGTGACTGAGCAGTGGTTGTGACAGTCGCATATACACTCAGCAGTTAATTACCTAGATACTTAGATTCATAATTATAAGGCACTTGTTGGTTTTGTCAAAATGAGCAGCACGCGCCCCAGCCGCAGATCGTTTAGCATTTGGAGTGGGTTTGTTGCCATGTTGTGCCTGAATGAATTCGCTTTTGACAAGTCGGTGGTATCGGCTGTTGAATATTACACCGAAAAGCGTAAGTTTGTGTCCTTAAAATGCGATTTACATCCTAAGTGAACCGAAATAAATCCCTAGCTGCCTTTTTGCCGTCTTGTCGTATTTATGAGCCCGGTTTCACCAAATGCTCTACGAACAGCATTCAGAAGCTTCTCGACCAGTTGAACATTGGAATACCAGAGGTGGTCGAGCGCTTCGGACCCTTCGATCCCATGCGAGTCAGGGATATAGTCTTTAAACAGGACAACAACGAAGTGGCCACCATCAGAGCAAATCTCACAGAGCTGGTGGTTAAAGGCTTTTCCAAAACAAAGGTCAAGGAGAGCCGGTAAGAACATATCATATTCAAACCACAAAAGAATAAAAATATTTTTATTTTGATAACTCCGTTCTGAAAAGACCACTACATCTAGAGTTGTACAAAAAAAAGGGAATTTAAAATTCAAGACGCGATAAAATTCTACAAAAATTTAATAAGATATGAATATACACTCAATTAGCTTGAACTGTAAACTCTCGAGTGCTACATATGTGAATAATGTTTATTCTCGATTACAAAACAAGTTCTTGACTTAAGTGAACTGTAATGGTTTACTCTTAGTTACCTGCTTTAACTAATTGTCTTGCTTTTACCTACAGTGTCAGTAAGAAGGATTTCGGTTGGCAGACAAAAATATTTTTGCCAAAAATGAGACTTGATGGCAAATATGAAATGGCTGGTCGTATACTTCTCATACCGCTCAGTGGCTCTGGAAAAATATTCATTGAAATTGGTAACGCAATACAAATAATCACATGGTCGGCTTTTATAATTACTGATGTGACATGAAACTAATTTTATTCACAGACGATCTTGACATTTTGCTGCTAACGAAAACCCGTCTTTATGAAAAGGGCGGCTTCACCTTCGATAACGTGACCTCCGTCCGTGTCCAATTGAATCTGACTAAGGTTCGCACTTACCTGGACAACTTATTTAATGGACGCAGTAAGGAAGTCGAACGCAGCACGAATCAGTTCTTCAACGAAAACTGGCGCGATTTTTACGAGGCCCTAAAACCGCTGATTGTTGAGACGGTCGAAAATATCCTCTATGACGTAATGTCCACTGTTTTCCACCTCATACCAGCTAACTTTTTCGTAGAGGACATTCCAACGCCGCAGCAACTCTATGGTCCAAAAACAGCAGTCGGTAAAAGGAATAGTTAAGTTCCACTAATTGATCAACAGAAAGCCATTAGAATTTCTTTAAGTTTTATGTATATTTGTAGTGATAATAAATTGGCTTAGCAAAATTTTAGTCAATACCCTTAACTCTTGAATATTAATTTAATTTCAAGCTTTTAGTAAAATGAGAAGTGTGCTGATTCGCAGTTGAAGATCAGGGTCGAATTATATCCACCTTGTTTGCAGAGAAATAGACTCCAAATTTTTTTTCTGGAAAAAGAACATTAAAGTTGTGACAGAAGCAGTAGAAAATGTACAGCATACCTTTTTCATCCACTCGATAATTGTGTTTCTTAAAAATATGCATCATTAGCATAACAATCACAATAGCCAAGATGACAGCCAACAAACCAATTGTAATAAAAAGCCACTTAAGGTGCTTGATTTTGTTGCGCCTTAAAATCAGTGCTTCGGACGAATTTAAAGATTGGCAATCATAACCATTGTCTGGACTTTCGCCATCGAAACAGGCACACGTCCCAGGCGCCTCACAAAATCCATTGATGCATTCGGGCTCGCAAATTGGAAGACAGAATAGCCTGTGATCCCCTTCATTACGGTGCAGTTTGTAGTTGTCCGCACACGTACATATTCCTTCCGAGCAGGTTCCATTCCAGCAGGACTGGTCGCAATCCGTGTCGAGAACCATTTTCTTCTTCAGCACACAATTTCCAGTTCGCACATCGAAAATAAAATCTTGCTCACACTGGCAAACACCTGGAGAAACGCACATGCCGTTCTGGCATAAACTGGAACAGTGAGGTATGCAATCGCCATTTAAATCCTTTTTGAAACCATCATTGCAGTCGCACTTTCCAGGTAACTTACAAGACCCATTTGGACATCCGTTATTGCAGAGTGGAGCACAAGATGTATTACTTTTCCAGGAATATCCTTCATTGCATGTACATTTTTCAGGTGCAGAACACAATCCGTTCTCACATCCATCTCTGCAAACTGGAACACACTTGTTCCCAGTACTCATCTCATATCCTTCATTGCAGGAACACTTATTGGGTAAAAGACAGAATCCGTTCTCACATCCACCTTTGCAAACTGGAATACATTTGTTTCCACTGCTCATCTCATATCCTTCATTGCAGGAACACTTATTGGGTGAAACACAGAATCCATTCTCGCATCCATCTTTGCAAACTGGAACACATTTGTTCCCAGTACTCATTTCATATCCTTCATTGCAGGAACACTTATTGGGTGAAACACAGAATCCGTTCTCACATCCATCTTTGCAAACTGGAATACACTTGTTCCCACTGCTCATCTCATATCCTTCATTGCAGGAACACTTATTGGGCGAAACACAGAATCCGTTCTCACATCCATCTTTGCAAACTGGAACACACTTGTTCCCAGTACTCATCTCATATCCTTCATTGCAGGAACACTTATTGGGCGAAACACAGAATCCGTTCTCACACCCATTTTTGCAAACTGGAACACACTTGTTCCCACTGCTCATCTCATATCCTCCATTGCAGGAACACTTATTGGGTGAGACACAGAATCCATTCTCGCATCCATCTTTGCAAACTGGTATACACTTGTTCCCAATGCTCATTTCATATCCTTCATTGCAGGAACACTTATTGGGTAAAAGACAGAATCCGTTCTCACATCCATCTTTGCAAACTGGAATACACTTGTTCCCACTGCTCATCTCATATCCTTCATTGCAGGAACACTTATTGGGCGAAACACAGAATCCGTTCTCACATCCATCTTTGCAAACTGGAATACACTTGTTCCCAATGCTCATTTCATATCCTTCATTGCAGGAACACTTATTGGGTAAAACACAGAATCCGTTCTCACATCCATCTTTACAAACTGGAATACACTTGTTCCCGCTGCTCATCTCATATCCTCCATTGCAGGAACACTTATTGGGCGAAACACAGAATCCGTTCTCACACCCATTTTTGCAAACTGGAATACACTTGTTCCCACGACTCATCTCATATCCATCATTGCAGGAACATTTGTTGGGCGAAACACAGAGTCCGTTCTCACATCCATCTTTGCAAACTGGAACACATTTGTTCCCACTACTCATTCTATATCCATCTTTGCAGGAGCATTTATTGGGTGAAACACAGAATCCGTTCTCACACCCATCTTTGCAAAGTGGAACACACTTGTTCCCACTACTCATTCTATATCCTTCATTGCAGGAACACTTATTGGGCGAAACACAGAATCCGTTCTCACACCCATCTTTGCAAACTGGAACACACTTGTTCACATTACTCATCTCATATCCTTCATTGCAGGAACACTTATTGGGTGAAACACAGAATCCGTTCTCACACCCATCTTCGCAAACTGGAATACACTGGTTCCCACTGCTCATCTCATATCCTCCATTGCAGGAACACTTATTGGGTGAAACACAGAATCCGTTCTCACATCCATCTTCGCAAACTGGAACACACTTGTTCCCACTACTCTTATCATATCCTTCATTGCATGAACATTTGTTGGGCGAAACACAGAATCCGTTCTCACATCCATTTTTGCAAACTGGAGCACACTTGTTCCCACTACTCATCTCATATCCTTCATTGCAGGAACATTTGTTGGGCGAAACACAGAATCCATTCTCACATCCATTTTTGCAAACTGGAACACACTTGTGCCCACTATTCATCTCGTATCCAGCATTACAGGAGCATTTATTGGGAGACATACAAAAGCCGTTTTCACATGTATCTTTGCAAACTGGAACACACTTGTTCCCACTACTCATCTCATATCCTTCATTGCAGGAACATTTGTTGGGCGAAGCGCAGAATCCGTTCTCACATCCATTTTTGCAAGCTGGAACACACTTGTTTCCACTATTCTTCTCATATCCGTCATTGCAGGAACACTTGCCGGGCGCCAAGCAGGATCCGTTCTCGCAACCATCTTCGCACACCGGAGAGCAGACGCCTTCTCGTTTGATGTATCCTGGGTGGCAAGTGCACTCCTCCGGCGCCGTGCAGTCTGCGTTTATACAGCCTTTTGAACAAACCGGCAGACAGACATTTCGGCCGACTTTAGTATATTTAGGCAAACATTGACAGACATCCGGAGCCGTACACTTTCCGTTCACGCATTCGTCTTCGCAGATGGGAACACAATTCTTATCGGCGTCTTTCCGGAATAATTTATTGCATTCACAGACATCGGGCGCTCGGCACACACCGTTCTGGCAACCATTTTTGCAGACCGGCTGGCAAGCGAACTTATTTGAATTTGGTTTTGGCACATAGCCCGGATTGCACTCGCAGCGATCGGGTGCCGCGCAGAAGCCGTTTTCCCGCCTGCAGTTTTCCTTACAGATAGGCAGGCACACCTGGTCGGTGGCATTCAGCGAGTATCCTTGATTGCAGCTGCATTGGTCTGGCGCTTTGCAAACGCCATTGGGGCAACCACTGCGACACTGGGGAACACAGTCGCCGGTTTTTGGATCCTGCAGATGGCCGCTGGTACAGACACAGCGTCCTGGAGACAGGCATGATCCTCGACTGCAGCCCTTGCAGTATGGCACACAACTAAAAAGAACATGAAATTGGATAAAAATTGTGTTCATTAAAATATTTACGTTTTCTTTGCAGCCTTAGCAAACTACAGATAATATGAAATTATTCATTAAAATAAATACTTTTCCTTTTCAACGAAATTCTATCAAAGGGTTACGAAACGAGCTCAATGAATCTTGCAAAAAAAAACTTATTATTTAATAAAAAAGGCCGGGGTCCCCGCCATCCGGTTGTAATTTTGTTATTCCAACTTTTTGATATCAAATACTTGCAATCGGCGCCGTCCGGTTTTATTGATATATAAATTGAGGGACAGTATATGAGGGTAATAATTATATTTAACATAAAATTTGACTGGATTTGACTGAATAAACTAGTACAGTAGGTGGTTAACTTTTTTTAAGTTTTTAAATTTTTATACACACCGATTAGATTTAACATTGTTAAGGTTCACATAGTTCTTGTTGCAAGTGCACACATTTGGTTTTGTACATCTGCCGCTTCCGCAAGCGGTTTTACAAATAGGAACGCATCTTAAATCAGGGGTTGCAAGTTTTCTATAGTCTTTGCAGCACTCCAACGTTGTGATTTTCACACGTTTTCCATTAACTCTTCTAGTCCTCGTTATATTACATTTCTGAGCCGCTACGAAGGCGACGAATACAGAAAAAATTATAAGTTTCGAAATCCACATGGTCGCTCAATATTCAACTGATTGCACTACAATTTAAAACATGACTGAAGAGACCTCCGCAAAAATAAATTCGCAAAAGCATTTTCTTTGTCGCATATTTTACTTACAAATACAGTAAACATTCCTTAGCATAAAAAACACTCAGCCATTAAAGAAGACTTTGACTGAGAAGTATAATTTCATAAAGGCCTCTCAAATTATGAGATAAGGCGCTCGTCTTATTTTAAAGGCATTTTAGCAAAGTTTCTGTTAGAGAAGCGTACCCGTACCATCAATTCAAAGCCTTATCTTCATACGGAGAAGAAATCGACTCTTTAGAGGCTTTAGGCTTTTCTTGAGTTCCACTGTTTACATTTCTAATGAGCGACAATTTTTTTGTGCTGGCTTACCAATACATTAACGCATTATTATTATTATCGTGTGTTTTACGTTTTAAATAAAGTATGTAATTGTGTATAAGTTTATATAAAGTAACCCAACATTAAGAAAATTACACAGCGATATTTAATGAGCTTAGAAATAAGAAAGAAAAATAACTTTTTTATAGTTACACGGCCATTACACCACTGGGGATTAGTACCCTTTGATTCATATATATATATAACTTCATTTTAAAAGATGTTTTTTTATTATTTGGAAGTTACCGTTTCCTCCAAAAGTCTCGGGGGTTTTACCACTTAGTAAGAAAGTGAGAAAGTATATGAAAGAGCACGATCTAGCTGATAAAAAATATTTTTTTACTAATAAATAAAATTTAAAAAAGAATTCAAGGGTCTTATCTCGTCGCTTTTTCTTGTTTATAAAATACAATTATCGTGTTTAAACCAATCTTTCGACATAAACAGTTGCAAAAGAAAAAAAATATATAATGCAATTCAAGGCCATGACATCATTAAAACGCCAGGCAGGGTGATAATTAGAATCAGACATAAATCTATTTATTTCATAAAATAATATAATAGCTCGGATCAAAGATCTTAAGGTTTTATTGTTTGTTCAACAACATTGTGATCATTTTAAAAAAAGGCTGCCGCCTATCCGTTTAATGTTTTTATTGCGCCAGTTACAATTTTTTGTTTTGCTCGACTTCTAGCAATTAAGTTTGCCAGGTCCGATCAAAGCAAAGTGAGACGAGTATGTGTGCAAACATTGTTTTTGTTGCTGTCATAGTTTTCAGCGTATTTTCCAGATAGATATTAAATTAGCTTACCGGTTCGGTGGCAAGGTAAAGTAGCTACAGTTTTAGAGTCGCAAAACAACAGCAATAACAGTAGCTACACGTTGAAAAAAATCACAAACAAATATTTTACTATAACATTAAGCCACGAATATCCAATAAACATTATTTTACTGGTTATACGCTTATTGAAAAGTGTATATAGTATGTATGTGTTGTCGATAGCATCTTTAAAAGTATTTTCAAGTAAGAAAGCCATTTTTATTTTTTTCTGTGCTTGAATCATACTCTCGTGCAATAAATATGGAATAAATTTATTTTCATATAGCGAGTAAATGAAAATGGCTCGATTCTGGTATTACCCAGAAGCTTTAGACTCAATTCATCAATAGCACCCAAGTTATCAGCATCGGCTTTATATCGTCTAGATAAAAGCCAGCAACCCTCCGAGTTGTATCTCATTCGTATCTCGCGCGTTTCAAACTCGATTAGGCGGCACTCCTGATTGCGACTTACATTCCGGTAGTGACAGTGACTTGAAAGTGACAGTGTCGAAAGCTTTTCCCCATGCACTTAATTGGCTTGCTGGTGCTGCTCCATGTCGGCCTCCAAGGAGTCCAGAGCGTTCCCTTCTACACCATAAAACGTGAGTTGAGTTGAGGATTATATGTAATGCTCTAAAGGGCTGGCTAAAACAATTTAAAACAAGAAGTTGGCTAATTTGAAATGGATTTTATTGCAGCTTCATATATTGAGTCGTGCAAGATTTATGAACCAGAATTTACAAAGTGCTCAACACGATCCATTCAGGCCTTTATGAACCAGCTTATTAAAGGTGAGAGAGTATTTTGCAAGCTGAGGCTTACACGACTGACACAGTAATTTGTTGAAGGCGTACCCGAGCTTGAAGAATCTTTTGGACCCATCGATCCCATGAGGCAAGACCAGCTGGTCTTTAAGCAGGACAACAGTGATGTGGCCACCCTTTCCGCCAATTTAACTGATATGCTCATCAGCGGTTTTGGCAAAATGGTGATCAAGGAGAGCAAGTGAGTAGCTATAAATTGTTTCCAGCTGTCAAGCGTGATTAAAAGTTGTCTAATTAAGGTCGTTGAGCTCCCATAGGCGAACATCTTTTGTGGGAAATTCCTACCGATATAGTTTAAAAGCACCAATAAGCGACTTAAAACTAATTAAAGTTATTTTAGAACAATCATAATTCATTATTTTACTTACGAAATGTGAGCGTTTATAGCTAAAATATATAAGCAAATTTGGTCGATCAGCTTAGATAAGCACAGCACAATCAATTAAAATTAAATATATATATTACAATTTAATGATTTTATTTATATTACTTTTTAGAGTCAGCAAGAAGGATTTCAGTTGGCTGACTACGATTTACCTGCCAAAAATGCGAATGGATGGTCATTATCAAATGTTAGGTCGTATTTTGTTAGTGCCCCTGAAGGGATCTGGAAAAATCGAGATGGAGATAGGTATTTGTATTTGTTTACAATTATTGTAACTATTGTAATAACTGAACTTTTTTCATCTGATAGATGACCTGGACATTCTGATGAACACCAAGACACACCTTTATGAAAAGGGCGGCTTTACCTTCTACAACGTGACTTCCGTAAAGGTGAAGTTGGATGTCGGTAAGGTGCGGACCAGAATGGACAATCTTTTCAATGGACATAGTAAGGAGGTGGAAAACAGTACCAATCAGTTCTTCAACGACAATTGGCAAGACCTTTTCGAAGCACTGCGTCCACTTGTAGATGAGACCGTGGAAAGAACTCTACTCGACCTTCTCCACAAAACCTTTTCCCTGTTTCCGGCCAGCTTTTTTGTGGAGGACATACCAACATCTCTGGCTCTGTATGGTCGCAAATCACACATGATAAACAATAATAATAACAAAGAGATCTAATGTCTACAATAGAAATTCTCTTATTAATAAAGAGACTTAATGTAAAAGTTAGAGCTCCACTTCAACAGTAGTTTCCTTGGGGTCTTCAAATAAGATTTAACATTCACATCTTAGTTTTATTACATTTTTATTCTCTGTGAATTGCTAGCCTACATGTTAGTGTAACTTAATAAATGCTTAATTTAGAGGTATCCTAATATGGGATGGCACAGTGCTCCACATCCGGCTGCCAGTTCGATTCGATAGATCACTTAGATCAGTAGAACCAGTCGTACTTGAGATAGTCGCTGTCGTGTTTCAGGGCCGCGATCGAGGTGTGTCGCACGTGACCAGTTCTGGCGAAGATCCTGCGATTGCCAACAGGCTGCAGGGTCCGGAAGTTGTCCACCAAGGCGCCATCCTGCGTGTCCGACAGTTGGCGGAAGCGGGAGATCTGCTTGGGAGAAATCGGGATGGGATCGGGGAAGAGAATCCATGTTACGGCCTCCGAACAGGGTGGAGTGGTCAGCGATCCTGGAGGGTAAATAATCAGTATTTAGTTGAGTGACAATGTAGATAAATATCACATGTAGCCATCAATTAGGCGTCACTTGATCAATTGCTATTTATTGTCTCTAAAGCCGCTCATTGAATGTTAATTAAGAGAGTGGATTACTCACAGAAAATACTAATAGCTTTAGTAACGTTTTGATTTCTACCTTCAATTCATTTTGAGTGAAAATAAATCTTTTGATACACCCATATTCCTGAGAATATTCCTAGTGTACATACCCTTATAGGTGTAAAACTTGTCCACATCCACGCCAGCAATCAGCGAGGACAAAGAGAAGGTGACGTTGAGCGTGGCCTCCTGGTTGGCATCGGCAATCAGATGCAAGTGCCGGTTAATGGTCACCAGACCCGGACCCTCGTCCTCGTCGAGCTGTGGACACATCACAACACGAACTGGTTTATAAATCATTCGAAATGAGCACAAGCCCCACAAGAACTCACGTTGAAGAAGAATCCCAGCACGGCGGCACCGTCCGGGTGATTGAGAGCCTCGCCGATGGTGGCGTACTTCTTGTTGCGGTGCACAATGTGCATCTCCATGGTGTATCGGATGTCGTTGATGACGTGCTCGGATCCCCGGTTGTTCTTGTCGCCCCAGTGGAAGTGCAGGCCCTCCAACTCAAACTCGCCGGGCAGCTTGGCACCCCGGATATAGGGCAGGAAATCATCGCCCACCTCAGTCACATTGACCTTGGGTATGCTGATGGAAACTACAAGGCAGAGAGGTAATTAGCACAAATCATACACTGTGAAAACAATTTATAAATATTTGTACAATTTGTTATCTTGTTGTACTCTTATGATTGGTATGTATTGTAATTGGTTTGTTACAGCAGGAATAGGGGCTTATTGAAAAAATTCTATCCTTTCAAGATGCGGGATGAAGTATCCCCTTCGACACTTACCCGTGTGCCCGTTGTTGAGCATTTTAAGGGGATAGGGAAGCAGGTTGTGATAGCCAATCATGTCCACCGCCGGCATGTGAACGGATATCGTCTGAAAAAGGACAACTACGTTGTTATTGGCCTACTTAGCTCGGCTTTGAGTTAAGGCACTTACCCGGCTGGTAGTGATGGCAATGGGTGACTGGGTCTTTCCCGCACAATGGCCATGATGACGAGCCCAGCGCCGCTGATTGGGTTCAGAGTAGCCGAAGACATGACTACTGACAGCTGAAAGAGATTGAAAAAGGTTTAGCTAGAACTAAATATAATTAAATATTACAGGTAATATTACAAATAGGCAGCATTTTTAATCACTGAAATTAATTCATTTACGAACAAACTGTACCTAATTAATTATAGATTAATTATATATAAAAAATATTTGCTCACCAAAGCAGTTTATCCCATAAAATTTTCGGCCTTATGCCTTTCTCCATTAAAGCCACAATCAATTTACCAATGGAATGTTCGTTTAGTCCTTAATCGAATAAAATGATTAAAGTGTTTCCCCAGTTGCAGACACCCCGTCACCCACAATCTTTGATCTTGAGTCCACGATTGATGAGTGATCACGTGCCCGTGTTATTCACCCCCTCAGTTGACCTTCTCCCGATTTTCCGGGGCTATCTCTGACATATACGAGCACTTGTGAATTACGGCATAATAAATGGGGCTGCGAACAAATATTTAAGGTATCTTTCTTTTTTTTAGTCAATGGCTGAACAAATAAATAACTAACCGAGTAAACAGGCTTCGAGGGAAAGCTAGGAGAGTGTGAGCGTCAAGGGCACGTTCGAGCCAATAATTAGATATCGTCGCAATTGAAATTGATTGAGATTCAGATAATGGCGCGAATAAACAATTTTCATAAGTTTCCACCGCGATTGAAAGCTGGCAGCGAATTCCGTGGAATCTTTCGGAAGGCGAAAGGAAATACTTATATTTAAAGGCTAATTTGCATGTGATTGGTGATAATTTCTGTTGGAAGAGCTCGCTACGTATTAACATATCATATGACACGGTTTTCCATTGTGTAGACATAGTCTGCACAATAGGTAGATAAAGCACACATTTCACTCCTCACCGATTGATGAATTAGCCTAATTGTTATTTGTAATAATTATATATATTATTTATTTCAGGCACAGCTATCAAAGACTTAGATAACAATTATTTAAAATTATTTTTTGTCAGGTATGACTATTTGATATTATGTAATCCACCTGGCGTATTATATTGATATTACTTTGTCTTTTAATTTGAGCTATTTAGTCAATTACACCAAACTAATGCAAACTGTCATTGGAAAATAACATTCGTTTAAGCACAAAGTAATTAAAAAAATAAATAAATATGTCACAGTCTTAAAGTATAGATTACAGATGTTCATTTAGCATGTAAATAATATTTATAGAGCTTCCCCAAAGATTACAGTATACATTTTGTGTAGGGTAACAAGTGGAAATGCAAAAATTAAAGCCCTAACAACTTCCCGTCAAGAGCAACTAGATGTATTGCCATATTAATCAATCAGTGGCCAATAAAGAGTATTAATGGACAGTTTCAAGTGGAATAAACACCATTAAACTGGTCACAATTAGTTTCGTGAAGTGTGTACTTATGACTGCTAATGCCAAGATCCCCCATATCAGGTGTTGATATTTCGTAATAGATACGAATTGTCACACGCGCTTTAAAAAAAACTGAATGCACAAAAACAAACTATTTTAGATTTATAATAATTCAATTAATTTGAATAAGCTTTTATAAATAAATAATGGTTTCAATCAAGAATTAGTTGTTAATGGCAGGTGAATAGTATTATCAGTAATTATATTAAAAAAGTAATACGAATATAAGGGAAGCTAGCATGCAGTCGATTTTAATTAACAAAAGTGACATTTTCCGCAGTGCACCCATTTCGTGAATATCGGGGGACATGACTAGCCATGCATACGTAGTCAGAGGTACTTCGCTCGAATAGATATCGATTTATGGCTATTTTTGTTTTGATTCACAATACTTTTCTGCACAACTCGAACAAAAATAATCACGAATGAGTCACAGGACTTCACAGAAATACCAGTTCAATTACCTTGCGACCAGCAGATCACCAAAAAGGAAGCCTCTAAGAAAGCGGTCAACTTCATGGCGGATTTCCTTACGAATCGGTTTTCAAGTTCTTGACTCCTGACGAGCAACTATAGCACCTTCCGATCGGGTGACGGATTCTAGACTGCGCGGACGTTTCGCTGGCGGAGCACCTTCACAACTTCCTCAGCAGGCAGTCAACGAACTACTTGAAAATTCGAAAGCTGAAATCCCCGCCCGAAGCGCGTGCACCGCTCACACAGATACGTTCCAACACTATTGAAAAAGAGTCGCGCGAACAGCCGACGATCGATCGATCGATGGGAATCGGAAGGGGTTTGGGGGGCTAGAGGATCGGTACGAGGTGCAAGCCACCCCACTAAGTCGCCCACTTAGCTAAAATCAGCTTCGGGTAGCGGAAAGCTGGCCCACGGCTGCACCACCCTGCGTATACTTAACGCACAACACCCGGCGAATACTTAACGTCACGGAAACTCAATCGCACCGCCTAGCCCAAAAAAATAAAAGGGCGTCATTATGTCGATCAAAGTGAGCCAAAATCAAAGGGTAAAACTCGTCATAATTCGCACCTAATTCCACCTTCGATCATTTATGATAATATTTTGTTTTGCATACAATTTGCCCGATTTATTTGTTTGTTTTTGGCAAGTCAGTTGGCGTTACTAAGCCAACGAGTCGCGACAACGTCATGCCAAAAGTCGCTAATTAAACGCGGAGTCCTCAAAAAAAAAAAAAACAGAGCGATCGAACGCTACCGAGGCGAAGCAGAATATTCATTGAGCGATTTTCGCACGTTTTATAGTTTCACCCGGGGAATCATAGCGAATTCGGTTTTTTAACCAGATCTCTGTTCTGTAACGCAGTCGTGATTACATATGTATGGGCAGTTCGTGATCCACATGTGGGAATGTGAAAATTGTAAAATATATAGAGGGCATTCTGATATCTATTTATATCTTTATGGTGGGTATTGAGCAGTCACCCGGGCTCAGATATTTGCAATTGACTTGTCAAGATATCATAAACCAGACATTTAAATGCCCAGGCTTAGAATGGGCCTTACTCGTCAGGCGGGGTCGGGTCATAAAAATAAGTGATAAGTTTTGATGGAAAAATTGTTAATCAATTCAAAATAGTATTGTTAAAGAATTGTGTTCAAAATTTTATATTTTAATTCTTTATATAAATTTTAAAATAACTAATTACTTTAACTTTTCAAAATTCATTTCATATAACACCGTTTATTTTAACCAGATTGGTTATGAATTGTATAAACTGATCATACAAACGATTTTTGGGAATGGAAACCAGCCATCTGTATTTAAAGCTTTTAAACAAATACTTTGCTTCTAGCCAAGTAAAAAAATGTTGATATTATCGATCAATCCAATTTAAATTAGTTATTGTAGATTTGCAAATAATTTTGTTACCGGTTTGGTTTAGTATGCGCAGCTTAGTGATTAGCGGGATTTCCCATTGCTAATATAATTGTTTAAACACGATTGTGCAGACCTCAAATTATGGCTCAAAAGGTGTCAATATTTATCAGAAAGTAATCGCATGATTATCACATGAGAAGGCTGGCTCAAACCTAACCGTTTGAAACCGATTTATACTTTGGGCAATTGATTACGCAAACTTCAAGATCTTCTTCAGCAGCAGAATGAATAAATATTTGCAAGATTGCGACTCCGAATCGACCACTAAGTCAACTGTCCGCATCGATCAATAAATGTGGAATAGTTTGCCAGATGCGAAATATGGCTTATTTTGTGTCGAGAGTCACGTGCCTGCAATTAGCAGCCGTTTAGCAAGCTGTTGTTTATCTAAATTCCAACTTATAAAATACCTATCACCAAAGATTACTAATAAAGCAGTTACAACTGAGGAACGCAGAGCCACCCATCGCACTTAAAATGCCCAACCAGTCGCAATAACTCAATTATTAGGCTATAACGAAAAACATCAAATCCGATTGAGACGATTTTACGAGCGATCTGGTAACTAGACGTACTCTCTGCATATAAATACTTAAAAAGACATTAAACAAGACGCCGAACAGGGCGCATACAAATCAGCCTACTACTCTCGCCCAGATTTCGCATAGATCGGCGCACCTGCGAACCGTGTAGTGAATCGCAGATACGCGCTACAGTTTTATCAATTAAAAACACCTAGACGCGCGTCCAGATCCGCACGGAATACTCTATCAGTGATCGAATATAGCGTTGGCGTCATTCCACAAGCCTCTGATTGTCCGAAATGTCAAAGGCGACGACAGGAGGCGATTTATTTTTGGCCAAAATCGCAACTTCTCCGTCATGAATGGCTTAAAATAGACCCATTACTTATCAGCCCTAATTGATTAGCGGAGGCATGGGCTTATATCCCACGCAATGCTCAATCAATTCAACCTTATCAATTGTTTTGCTTTATCTTTTGGTTTTATCATGCTGCATACTTTTGCGGGCAGCGCCTAAAACATTTAAGAAAGCTTTTTGAAACGTACAAAAGTCTTTATTACAAATTTGAATGCACTTAGGTAGTAAAATGAGGGACGAAAACAATAAATTAGCTGCATTTTTTAAACAATATTCAACAAAAAATGATTTTAAAAAACGACGTAATATGGCAAATATCAAATGGCTATCGCACCTTTGGCAAACAGATGTTGGCTTACTTTGGTTTAGAATTTACAAAATCAGTGCAAAATAAAAACTAAGCTCTAAATGAAAACTATAAACTACTATTCGATGAGTTTGCACTTTCGGTCAACGTTTTTTTTATGGTTTACAAATATAAATATATTAAATAGTATTGACTTCGTGTTCCAGTCCTTGTGATGTACAGGTCTTGCTTTTCGCTTTTAAAAGGTATTTTTTGTTTTTAGTTTTCAGGTTCATCGAGTCAAAGCTTTTCTGCTTAGGCGTTCACATAAATTTTGAGATTGATAGATAATTTTTTTAAAGTTGAAAATGCCAGTGACTTCAATAAGTCTTCGAAGTGATGCTTAGTTTGTATTTTCTTTTGGTTAATTTGGAAGGCAGTTTAGTCCTGCTTTTCCTCTTTGGCGCTCATGAAAAGCTTCTGGCAAGTGAAGGTCAATGAGTCTACAAAAGAAAACCATATAAATGTCGGACAATGCCACACATTGGGGTTAATGTCAAGAAATACTGACCAATCGTGCGCTGCACCCATTTCGGCTTGTTCTTCCATACGACACCCACATAGTAGAAGGGTATTCCAATTACGGTGATTAATACCCCCATGCCGACCTCATAGGGCGCCACATAAATGGGCACGACGACTAAAAAGGCGCACACGATGACAAATAGGGCGGGTATCCACATAGCGACCTGTTACAGCAAAAAGATGGATTATTCTAAATAATATGCATTAAGTTTAGTGTTGCCATAAAAAGGTCATTGACCCAATAGAGTAATAAAACAACAAAAAATACTTTAGTTTACTTTTTTTATACTGGAGCTGGCTTCTAATAAACTTGCAAAATGAAATAATTTACCTAGCTTCATTGGGCTTGAAAAAATCTAAATTGGCAACACTGACAACGCTGGACTTACTTTAATTGGGCGCTCCATGCAGGGACGGGTGTAGCGGAAGTACAAAACCGCCGACACCGACAACATTATAAAGAACGATTCCACAATGCTGGCGTAGGTGATCAGCACATACACGTCGCTCACAACCAGCATCACGAGGGAGAGAAAGCACTGCCGAGAGGAAAACATTCAAATCAATCAGAGATTAATTACATATAATTTGCTGACTAATTGAGAGGCGCAGCTTACCAGAAAAACGAGGGACGGTAGTGGGGTGTAGCTCTTCACGCTGATGTGCGACAAAATAGCCGGCATGTGACCATTGCGGGCGCCCACAAAGCAAATGCGGGAGGAGGTCATGATGTGGACGGACAGACCGCCAAAAGCAGAAATGGCCACCATGACGGGTATGACCAAAGAAAAGGCGCCGAGAATCTTATCGCCGAAGGTCTGTGGGAAGAGACAGAACAATTTAAATCATTTGAAAAGCTTCTCTGGTTTAATTAAGACTACACAATATAGTTGCCTCTTGCGATTTCGATCAAATAAATTAACTTTTCTAGATATATAATCGTCTTCTCGATTTTAAACTATAGATTCGTAAAGCCTGAGTTTGTAGCAATTTTTATAGGCAATAGTTTTACTTTTTATAGTTTTTTTCACAATTTCAAGTCACGAATCTGGCATAATCTGATCAAAGCGCAAATTGGAACAGGGTCGCCAAGTTCTTACCACAGCGATTGCATTGGAGGCAATCATTTCGGAGGGTGACAGCACGGCCAGATAAGCCACATTGGCCAGCACATAAATGCCGGTGACCAGCGGCAACGAGATGTAAATGGCGCGCGGCAAATTGCGATAGGGATCCCTGAGTTCCTCAGTCATGAAATTTAAGTAATTCCAGCCAGCATAAGAAAAGATGCCGGAGTAAAAGGCCACTGACATCTTGCCGGGATCACTATCAGTGTTCTCGAACGGTCTGCTGAAATTCTCCACGTTGCCCATTAGCATCCATACGAGACCGACGAGGATGATCATCACCAGAGCAGCGATCTTGGTGAACATAATGACGTTCTGCATCTTGGTGGTAACCTTCATGTAATACGAGTTTAGGTAAGTAAGGAAACAGATTGTAATCGCCGCCAACAACTGCAGGGCTATCTTGGGAATGTTACAGGCTCCGCCGAAAAACGGTTCCAGTACATAGGAGGCAAAGGTCAGGCCCATAATGGCATTAGTCGTGGGTCTGCAAGAGATAAGAAATCATAATCAGTGGAATATTTTGCAGACTGCATTTAGACATATGTCCAACTCCTAATCTACGCTTGCAAAAATGGAAAAGCAGATATTCGCTGTTATCTACAATACTAAATGGCAAAAATAGCAGGCAATAAAACGGTCAATGCAGAACTCGTGGAACTGCCCCATAAATAAATTTATACAGGCAGGCTCCGGTTTTCACTTTCACAAGATTCTCTTGTTTTCGTTTTCAAAAACGAAAATTGGTGCTCCCGTTTTCACTTTCACAAGATTTTTTCGTTTTCAAAAACGGGCAAGTTTTTTTTGTCGAAATGAAAAGTAAATGCCATTTTCTACATCAAAATGGTTCTTAATTGCAAAAGGAAAAAAATAGTTGACTCCTTGGTCTATTGATGTTCATTTCACATCATCAGTAGGTCAATCTAATTCGTATTTATTTTTTAAATAATTATTTTCTGACCCCACCTTGATTTCATACATAAAATATTTGCCGTCGGCAACAACAAATTTCGTTTTGCTAAAGGCTCGATAAATCTATTGACAAAGTTATCGTTAATGCTGCCGTACTTGTAGTGGAACGAAACAACCACTTAAAAATACTTTTAAATTGAAAACGAAGAAAAAAATATTTGTAAAGAATAGTTAAATAAGCTTCTTATAAATAAATATGCTTAATTTTCTTTCTTAAATGGTAAAAGTGCAGTAAAAAAGTTGTTAAGAATAGTGGAATGAAAACTGCAAAAAAGGTGGCAGCCCCTTATTATGAAAAACAGCTGATTTCTGATGGTGGCTTATTTTAAATTTTTGAAAATGTAAGTAAGACAACTTAATTTACCGATCGTCGGACATATTAAAAACACATGTGTTGCATCTAAGATGTCTCGATTTTCTTAAATAAATCAATTTCTGCCTTCTTTTGGCTTCAAAACAGGCAATTGAAAATATAAAAGTCATTTTTTTGCGTTGTTTACTTTTGACCAAAAAAAGTCAGCTGTTTGAACTATTCCGATAACGAAACGATGACAAAAAGTTTGTGAAAACCGGAGCACCAAAAACGAAAACGTACGTTTTCGCCCAAAAACGAAAACGAAAAAAAAAAGTGAAAACCGGAGCCTGCCTGATACTTTGTAGATTAGGTGATAAGGCTAGTTTGAAAAACCGTCTGCGTCTAAACACTGGAAAGCAATTTCTGGTTTCTATTCTTATCAAGGAAAGTGGTTGAACTTGGCCGTCAACAGAACGCTAAAAACCGACACAAGTTATTTAATGATGAATTACTCCTTGTTATCAGTTTTTTTGAGGATTGTTATGAAATTAGAAATCGATTCATGAAAGTAATTTGACACTGCTAGTGTTTATTGATAATACTTACACAAATATCATCATGGCATCCCAGAGATATAGGAATGCGGGCAGGGAACCGTACGCTTCGAATATATAGGCGTAATCCCCGCCTGATTTTGGTATGGCAGTGCCAAGTTCCGCGTAGCATAATGCTCCAATCATAGAAAGCAGTCCGCAGAGAACCCAGATGACCAACGATGCGCCCACTGACTCTACCTCACGGATTACGCCCTTTGGGGACACAAAGATCCCCGATCCGAAGATTATTCCCAGGATAATGGCTACGCCTTCAAGGAGGCCCAGCTGTTTTTTAATCACAACCCTACTGCTGTCCGATTCGGCGGATCCCTCGCGACCTTGAGGTTTCTCGGGCGGATTGGATACGGTTTGTGTTATGTTGGAAGGTGGATTTCCAGAACTGGGTGTCAGTAGAACCATTTCGCTCGAGGGCGATTGCAGTTCATCGACGGCGGGCATATTGACAATATGATTTTATGTCCAGAAGCTATAGTATTATTATCCCGCTGCTGGGTGACACAATATTCGCACGCGACGTCTGAATTCGAACTGTAACTGTTTCTTCGGCCGTTGTCCCGTTAATTGATTAAACGAGGCGACTGTGTTTGTGGGTGTGCCTTCGTTTGTGTATTATATTAATGTATTTTTCAATTGTATTCAGCTTATCTCCTGCTGCTCTTCCTCTTCTTTGCCACCGGTTAACGTTGGTTTGTTTTGCTCCGCTGTTCGCCAACTGCCGTCTCGCTCACACCAACACCACCCCCCTGAAGATGAATTTTTTCGCACATGAAACTCGCGATTTAAACTAAAATTTACAGTCTGGCTCGCGGAATTCGGTTAATGGGTCCGGTAAATATGTGCAGACATCGATGTAACCGCCGTATTATGCAAACTTTGCGGTTTAATTCTGGAATTGGCACAGATTCAGTCAAAGGTTTTTCAACCCCACGTTTTCTCGAGCATCTCGGCAGTGTGACCAGTCGGTATGCTGCTAAAAATTACCGCATCTTGTGGAGGTATTTTAACAGGGTGCCGATTTTTGGAAGCCTTCAAGCAATAAATAAAAAAATGGGTCAACAGTTTGTTAATATTTATGGTGCTAATTATTCACTCTTTGAGAATAATTTATTTGTCATACAAAAGTTGTCTACCCAAATAAACAGTTTTTAAAACCATTAAAAAATTTGGTATTTAAAATTTCGTCAATATTATGCCATTTATTTTGTACTTATAAATATGTTTACAAGTTTAAAAAGTTCAAGTCATTCGTTGGGCTAGGGCAGCACCTTGGTGTTCCTCCAGATGTGCGCTTAGTTTTAAGTTCGAACAGTCGTAAACTTTTTTCAACCAATCCATCTGCTACTTCTTTTCCTTGGCCTGCAGCTTGGAGTGAATCATGTCCTTGAATTGCGAAAGAATCTTGTTCTCCCGCTTCTGCCGCTCCTCCTTGCTGAACATGGCTAGCGCTCGTTTTTCGTCGGCCGAGTACAGCTGGTTTTCCTTGCGGATACGCACCGCCTCCATGCGACGATGCCTGCTGCCACTCATCACATAGCCCACGGACTCAAAATTAGCGATCTCGTCGGACGTTAAGCCGATCTCACCACGGCGGGGGATTCTCTTGCCCTCGGCAATGTAGGCAGCCATGGCGGCACCTTCTCCCGGCAACAGGGCCTTGCCGAAATCCTTTTGGTTCAGGCTGCCGCCGGTTCGCAACGATGGACCCACATCCTCATCGTTATGCGAGGCACTATCTTTGGTTCTAGACTTGCCGCCGCTGGAGGAGGAGCTCTTTTTCGACTTTTCCGCCTCAGATTTCCTCTTCTTTTTCTTCTTTTTTGATTTCTTATCTTTTTTACTTTTTACTGAAGTCTTTTTCTTTTTGGGTTTCTTGATGCCCTCGGCGGTCTTTTCCAGCCAAACATCTCCCTCCTCGGAGTTATCTTCGCTTTCGGAGCTGGAACTGGAGCTGTTTGTGTCATCGCTGCTGTCCTCACTGCTGGAGGAACTAGAAGAAGAGTCCTCCGAGGAGCTGGACACCCTCTTGCTCTTTTTCTTCTTGCTTTTCTTTGACTTCTTGGATTTCTTGTCTGCTTTTTTGTGTTTGCTATTGCCCTTTTTCTTTTTTTTCTTTGGCCCAACATAGGAGCCCTTGACTAGCTCTACGTCGTCGCTTTCTGGCCGTGTTGGACTCTTGCCCCACACATCTGGCACGCCCTCTTCGCCAATGCGAACTCTCTGGTTCCTGCGGGCATTAACCGCCTTGAAATCCCCCTTTGATTGGTGGTGAAAGCCTCCTCGGCCTCGGTGCTGTGATCTTGTTGAGGGCTCTGCCGGGTCATTAATGAAACTGCCCTCAGGAGCCCTTCCACGGAAAGGATTCTGCCGCCGGTCGTTGTTTTCGTGGAAACGATCGTTGGGCCAGCGATCCACGGATTTTGGTCTCGACTTTCGATTTCTAGAGGGGCTTCTTGAAGAACTGGAGCTTTCACTGCTGCTAGCGGAGTTACTAGAAGATGAGTGTCGGGCTCTGCGCCGGGGAGGCTCTGCAACCTTTTCCCTAGAACGGCGGGAACTGAGATTTGAGTTTCTCTCCCTGTGGAGCTCTCTATCTCTGTCTCCTTTTCCCTCCCGGGACACCGATCTCCGGTGCTGCGATTTGTTGTTTGTCCTTCTCTCCGATCGGGAACGATCTCTGGAATAGGATCTGTGGTGTTCCCTTTGTCTGCTGCGACTCCTGCTGCGTGAACGCATGCTGAAATTGCAATTTTTCAACAATTTCACCGGAAAATGCAAAACAAACGTTTGTTGTGAGGGGTGGACAGAATTCGATAGTCAAAATAATCGATGGTACCAAACAGCTGATTGTTTAGGGTCACACCAAATAAACGGTTGCAAATTTCATCGCGAAATTAAAGTTAGTTTAACGCCAAGAATGCTGTAATTAAGTTGTAAAACTAAATAAAGAGGAAAGGATACAATAAATAAAAATGGCGAGGATTACTTGGAGAGGTCACTCCAGTCAGGAGCTGCTGTAAGCTTTGCAACCTTATTTTTCGAATTGGGCCACTGATTGGTAATGTTTATGTTTACTCTTATTGAAGTTCTATTTGTCGGCTTCGTTGGTCTTATATGAAACACTGCTGGACCTCTTTAACCTTTAACGCCCACATGAATTCGTCCTACGCCTCCGACGTATGCTTGACACCCATTTTTTGGTTTGTGGACAACTACACTCACTGCTTGGGACCGGTAACACTATCCTACAAAACCAATTAAAGCCCATATAATAGTCAAAACCCACATTTTCAGTTCTTTGTGGTGGGCGTGGCTGCCTTGACAACATCAGTGGTTGGCATTGCCTACTGGATTGGCTTACCTTTTTGGTGGGCCAAGAGCCAATTGGTCACATATTTCCTCCTCATCGTGGGCAATTGGCTGCTGCTCAATGTGGTCTTCCACTATGTTATGGCTGTGATCACCCCGGCTGGCCACCCTCCGGAAGGCGTGTCCCTGGTGGAGGCGGTCAGCATGTGCGGCAAGTGCATAGCCCCCAAGCCGCCAAGAACACACCACTGCTCCGTTTGTAATCGCTGCATCCTGAAGATGGATCACCACTGCCGTAAGTATTGGCACTTTTAAAAGTTTCCAAAAATAATTGGTTTTTTATCTGTAAAGCTTGGCTCAACAACTGTGTGGGTTATGGCAATCATCGGTACTTCTTCCTCTATATGATGTACACCACTCTGGGTTGCCTGTTCCTCTGCTTGTTTGGACTGGAAATTGGTCACAAATATCTGTGGTTGGATCACGGTGAAACCTGGACGGAGATTGAACCCCTGGAGGGGCAACCGGTGAAATTTAACCTCAGTGGACACATAATTCCTGTGGTAAGTTAGTTAAACCAAGTAAAATAAACTAAAATTAATTATGTATACTGTTTTTTAGACACATCCCCATGAGTACGATGAGTTTATGCTACCAGCTGCTGTACACAATCTGCCCACGCCCATTGTGGATACGGATGCACCTTCGCCTGGCCGTCGTCGAGCCCTGTGGTTCATGGCCTTCACGCTGGTCTCCGTTGTATTAGCACTTGGAAGCCTCTCCATCTGGCACGCCAAGCTCATCACGCGAGGAGAGACCAGTGTGGAGGCCCACATCAACGAAACCGAACGGAAAAGGCTTCTGCAGCAGCAACGCATTTACATTAATCCGTATAATTTTGGCACCAAAAAGAACTGGAAACTGTTTTTGGGTCTGGTGCGGGGCAGGTATGTTATGTTATATGTTATATTATCTATTTTAAAAGAAAATGATTTTCCAGATCCTTCTGGCGAACTGTTCTACTTCCCTCTTGGCATAAGCCCGAAGGAACTGGTCTCAGTTTTCACACGGTAAACGATGCGCCCTTCGAGGACGAGTGGCCATAGATCGAACATCAAAGCCTTTGTGATGTTATCCAGTCAATCTTATGTTATTAGCTTAATAGATAAGGTCTAAAGTTACTAGTTTTTATGTGTCAACTGCCTATTTTTAGTATTTATCCACGATTCCAACTATACTCCAAACTTGCTAAATACGGTATGTCTTGGCATGTTTCCATAACGACTAAGAGCACAATAGCGTTTTTTATACATACTAGCTCAATAAAAATAAAAGTCAATTCCAGTAAACAATATAACCTGTTGTGTTGCCCTTGGTATTTGTGCCGGTATGGCAACTTGTTGCCAGGACAAGGTTACGCCTTCGGGTTTGGTCAATAAATTGTAGAAACATTATTTCATTTCATTATTAAGGATGTCGAAGGCTTCGGGATCTGAAGATGAGCCTCTGGTGCCAGATGATTTCGATGATGATTTCTACAAGGAATTATGTGACAAAATCCCTGAAGTAAGGATTAAACGCAACGTTTTCATTAAACTGCTAAGCTTATTTGATTATTGTGTACAGGCAACCAAGGCTTTGCGTCAAAAGGACACTCCTAACAATGCGGATAATGTCCAGAGATTGCTCATATGTGGCACTCGCTATAAAAGCGATCTTCGAATGGAGAAGGAACGGTCCCAGGAGTTGCGTAAAGAGATTGAGAGTTTGGAGGGACGATTGGAGAATGCAGCTCGAGTGACCAAGATGGACATGGCCACCATTGAGGAGCTACGAGGGGTCATAGGTTATTATAATAATTTAAGTCACAGTAATATTTTTGAATTCTAAATTACATTTGCAGAGGGTGCTTGGAAGCAGAAGGATGCTGCACAGATCCGTGAACAGTCCGCTCAAGATGAAGTGTTAAGTCTCCGGGAGAAGCTGGACGAATCGGAGCAAATGGTGGCCCATCTCAATGAGAAGCGGCTGGCCATGAGCAAACGTGACGATGGCAAGGAACGTGAGCGTCTTACGGCCGAAATTGCCGATCTCAACAAGCGTTTGCAGCTGCAGCGAACTTATGCCACTGAACTGGACAGCACAATCGAAGGATTGGAGGCAAAAAACAAGGAGTTACTCAAGTTGTTGGATGTAAGTGACAGAATCTTATCCAAACACTTCTTTATTATTATTTTTGTTTTCAATAAAGGAAACCTCTAGCGATGCTTGCAACCTTAAACGTAAGAGCGATGCTTTATCCAAGGAACTTTCAACTATGAAGACCGAAGAGTCCCGATACCAGGAGCAAATATCTCAAATGAAATCGGCCAACGAGCACCTGACCAAAGTGAAAGTCCGTCAGAACCTTCAGATTCTCTCCTTAAAGACGAATCTCGAACATTTAAATACCCAACATAATGCCACCAACAACAAGTTGGCCAAGATTACTGTGGATCTGGAGTACACAGTTCAGGAAAGGGATAAGAATAAGCGGGCTTTGAATCAACGCATTAATCTACTGAAAGTACGGGAGGATGAGCTGATTAAAGTGCGCCAGGATAATGGAAAATTGGCTAAATCCCAGGAAACAATTGCTCGAAAGTATGCAGGATTAGATGAATCAAAGCGAGAAGTGGAACAACAGAACATTCGATTGAAGTAATAAGTGCTCAGGTAATAGTGTTAAGTTTACTAAATAAAAGTGTTTACAGAACTCAGCTCGGCACCCAGGATAAAGAACTTGAGTCCATGCGCAGGGTGGTCCATCATTTCGAGAAGAACAATGAAAACCTGACCAAGGAGCGGGATTCTTTGAGGCGGGAACTGCAAGCTGAACATCAACAGCTGGAGCAAAGTAATGCCCTGCATCAAGAGGCTCAACACGAAATCCGTGCTCTCAAGGACACCATCAGCACTATGGATACCAAGCTCAAGAAACTCAATGAGGACGCAAACAAGCTGAAGAAGGAGAAGACTAAGAAGTTGGATGAAATACAGCACTGGATAGATAAGCTGGATGCATTACAGAGTAAGTTTTCGCATTTTATCATCAGATTATTTTTACTTAAATATTTTTTTAACCAGATGAAATGCACCTAAAGGAGAACTACGAGATTGAACTGAAGCGCACTATTAGCGACCTTGAGGCCAAGTGCTCCAAGTTCCAGCAACAACACGATGTTCTGGCTGCTGAGCGCCAGTCTCTTCAACGCACTGTGCAAGTTGCCGACGAGGAGCGGCAGAAACTTCGCGACCAACTAGTCAATTTTCAAGCGCTCGTCGAGAAGCTGAAGGCGAAGATCGGCTACCGGGACTCGGAGTTGTCCAAACTGCAGCTGCAGATTGATCGCATGGAGAAGGAGCGACGCCTGCTGCGGAACGACATCCGGCACGCTCAACTAGGTCAGCAGCACACCAAGGCGGAGCTGCTGGATAAGCGCAAGGAGAACGACAGACATGCCAAGTCGCTGCAGGAGGACGAGCTAAAGTTGGCGCGTCTGCGCAAGGACGTGGACAACCTGATGAACGAGAAGAACGCGATCAGTGCGGCTCTGACCAAGCGCAACGAGGAGTACGAGCGACTGAAGCACAGCCAGGAGAACCTCCAAACGGTGTACGATCAAACCCAGAGGCAGTGCACCCAGTGCCAGGATGATATGCGATTGATGGGCGTGGAGATAAAGAACTTGCGAACGGAAAGGGACGTCCTGAGGGCGGACAGGGAGAGTGCAGCGGATCTGCGCCAGGAACTGCTCCAAATGCACCGCATGCTTAATCAGGAACGAATTAAGGCACGCGCCTTGCAGGATGAGATGGTCACGCCCATGAATGTCCACCGCTGGCGTCTGTTGAGCGGCAAGGACCCGGAGAAGATGGACCTCCTGGGTCGCATCAGTATCCTTCGCAAGCAGCTTCTCCAGCAGAACGTGGCTGCCTTGGAGCAGGAAAGGGCCCTGACTGAAGCCCAACAGCTTTACGGGGCTCTGAGGGAGTTTATGCTCAAGCTGCCCAGTCATAAAGTGAGAGCGGAGCTTAATAGCGTCAAGGTGGGTTAGCATGTGGTAAAATATATTTAATTTATATTACCATTATTTTGATTACCAGGCTAATTTATCCGCCAAGGATCGCAAACTCAAGGTTCTCAAGGCCGAACTTAGTGCTAGAGAGGCAGATGAGAGGTCCAAGAAGGAGAAGCTAGAGGAGATGCGGGTTAACCTGGCACTCACCAAAACCCAGCTGTTGGAGGAGAAGAAGCACAAGCAGAAACTCCTGGAGGAGAGACATTTGCTGGAGCAGATGCACTGCTATTCGGCGCCAGCCCAACTGCCAAGAACTCTGGGTGCGGGATTCAAGATGGTCAGTAATTTACTTTAAGTAACAACAACACTAAGTTCCTACCAATAAACATTACTTTATATTAATCAAAGAACATATTAGGTTGTTTGGTAATGACATACCGGTTTTTACAATCAAATTTCGCGCTTCGCTTGTGAAGTCAAATATAATCGTATCTGGCAATGCTGTACATATATCGTTTGAAAGGTATTGGCATCACCTTTAAATAACATATACTAGTTTGTTAAACAAACCACCAACACCACCAACAAGTATAACTAAAATAACAATATTCTGTTAATAATTTATAATGAAATTTAATGATATATGTACTTACAATGTGTCAATCTTCTTTTTTGCGCCTTAAAGATTTGAGATGGAAAAACATCGATGTTGCCCCGGTAAACATCGATGTTGCCGATGTTTCTCCACCTCTAGTTTGTTTACATGAGCGTACACTTTAAAAAATTACAATCGGTTGAAATGGAGTTCACAAACGCAGAAATTCGGGCAATTTTGAAATTTTATTTCGCACAGGGAAAAACTGCTGCGGAATCTCGCAGACAGATTATTGCTGTCTTAGGAGATTACAAACTTTCGATTCAAACCGTCGAACGGTGGTTTAGGCGATTCCGAAGTGGCAATTTTGATACAGAAACACCCAAGCCTTCCGGACGACCAGTGACCGTTAATACGGATAAAATCATGGAAATAGTGGATCGAGATCGTCATGTGACTATTAGAGCCATCGCAGAGGAGCTGCAACTAAGCACGGAAACCGTCCATAGGCATTTAAAGTCGAAAAATTTAACAAAAAAAGCTCGATGTAAGGGGGCCTCAAAAAAAGAATAAATTAAGGTTTTTAAATATTTTCTGTAATTAATAAAAAAGTAAAAGGTACCCTAATTGTTGCAGGACCAGAATTACTGAGCTACAATCTCTCATCTGATTTGGTTATAATCTCGGAAGAGGACGACATGTCGAATAAATGCTCCATGAAGTTTTCGTCGATCGTCTTGGGTGCGTTTTTCTTGCAATCGGCTCTACCTATGACGAACCCTTTGTTCTTTTGATGCTGGAGGCGCAGCTGTACTTGGAAGCCTGCTATTAGGTTTTCCCGGGCCTTTAGATCGATTTCATTGATCCTCAGCTCGGCTTTCATGGCTTTCAGCTGACGGGTTTGGCGTCGATTGATGCGCTGCTGATCGCAAAGCTTCTCTCGCGTACTAGGATCAGGCAAGTACGTAATCTGGCGCTTGAGGTCCTCGTGCATGCGTACCACATTGGCCAGTTCCTTGGCCATGTTCTCGCGGAGCACGGAAAGGCGAATGTTTCGGCGCAGCAGGACTTGCACCTTGCGGATTAGGTCGAAGCGGCGGGGATCCTTGCCTTGGAGCACGCGCCAGCGATGGACGCGACAGGGGCGGGACAGCTCCTCCGAGTAGGCGGATACCCTGAGCCTCTCTCGGTTGAGCTGTCGCTCCAATCGGATCACATCGTGGCGCATGGCCGCCTTGTTGCCCACCTCGCGTTGCATGCACTCGTGCGACATCCGCAGGTTAACGACCTCCAGTTTGAGCAATCGAATGTCCTCCACTCTTTGGTTGTACTGCGAGGTGCCCCGATCAATGGCCTTCTGCATCATTGACACTTTTTCCTTTAGCAGGCGCACCTCATCGTTTCGCCTGACCATCTGCAAGCCCACCAGGCTCTTCTCCTTCGTCACCTCATCGAGGGCGCATTTGATGGTCTTGAAGCGCTTCTCATCGGAGTCGATGGTGTGCTGCGATTGCTCGAACCGGATCTTCATTTCCCGGAGATCGGATCGCGTGCTGGCCAACAATCGTTCCTTGGCATGGATCTCGTTCTGCTTCTGCTTAATAGCGCGGTTCATCTGCTCGATCTGGTTCCCTAGAGTGGAGATCTCCTTCTCGTTAAGGGCCAGCGTTGTGGTCATCTGGTTGATCTGGTGCGTCAGTTTGGCCATTGTGCTTTGTAGCGTGGAGCGGTCTCGCGAGCACATGTCCAACGTCTTCATTAGCATCACCTTCTCCGAATGGATGATTTCCATCTGCTTCTTGGCGTTCAAAAAATCCAGCTGTTTCTGCGTTAGCTCTGCCTGGACGGCTTCCAATCGCTCCGTCTTGATAATAAGTGCATCTATAAGATAAATATATATAAAGTAATTTTAATTTGACTTATTTTATACCCACCCTCGAGGCCATCGATCTTCTTGTAGGCATCGTTGAGTTCCACCGATTGTTCCTTTTTCTCACGGGATATTTTCTGCACCCGCAGATCCTTCTCATCCAGGGACTTGTTGGCCCGCTGTAGATCGTCCTGCAAATCCTGCACCTGGTGACGTATAGTTGCGATCTCGTGACGCACTCCGGACACCACATCGTTAAGACGCGTGATTTCCATTCTAAGTTTATCCCGAGAGCGGGTTATTTCTTCCTTCTGGTGGAGTGCCTCGTCCAACTTGACAGTAGCCACAGCAATTTTCTTTTCCTGCACTTTAATCTCATTTCTATAGGACACAAATTCTTCAACTTCGTTTTGCTGGTAATTTATGGAAAATATTTGTTACCTATTAACAATATCCTGGTCGTTAAGCTCCGTGTTCTTTTTGGCAAGCTGTATGAAACGTCTTTCCAGGATAACCGAATCGTCTGCTTTTTTCTTTGCATCCCGCTCAGCAGCACGGCGGGCCAAGTCAAGATCAATGTTGTCCCGCCTCCGGGCATTGCTCAACTCCTCGGCCACCTTGAGGTTCGCCTGCAGCCTGTTCTTCTCATCCTCATGCTGGCGGTGGGCCTTCAACATGCTGTAGTTCTCCCGCACGAGACGATCATTCCGCTGCTTGAGTTCTTCATTGGCAGCGGCTACCTGCGCCGTTGTTTTTTCCAGCGTAAGGAGCTCCTGGTTTTGCTGCAGAACCAACGCCAACTCCTTGTTAAGACACAACAGCCTTTCCTGGTTCTTATCCTGTTCCACACTGCACTTGTGCTCTAACCGATAGTTCTCCAGCTCGGCCCTCTTTACCCGCATATTAAGATTGGCAATCGTTTCTTTTGAAATCTCTATCATACCCTCCAGCGATTCGGAGTAAAAGCGATTCGTTTGCAGTCGCTTCTGGTAGTCCTTTAGCTCGCCAGCCAGGCGATCCCGCTCTCGAAAGACCAAGCCACGAATTTGCTGCTCCTTGCTGCACATAAAATATATTATGTTTATTGGAACTTCAGTTATGTCGTTAGTTTGTTGGGAAGTACTCACGGATTGGTTTGTGCATTTTCGTGCTCAGATTTGTTAAAGGTCGTTTGTTCACTGCGCACGAGTGAAGTAAGCTGGATCTGCAAGGTCTCCTGTCGATTCTTGATGGTGTCCTCGTTCCGCCAGGCCTCCTCCAAAGACTCCCGCAGGTGCTCCATCATCGACTCCGAGGTGGCCGTGGTCCGCAGGGCCAGCCGCAGCTTCTCGTCCGCCGTCTTCATCTTCTGATTCATCACCTGGGCTTGGGTCACCTCGGTGACATAGTGGCCGTGAAGTCGGAAGAGGATGTCCACGTACAACTTGAACTTGGCAGCCAGACTGGCGTTGCGTTCGCTCAAAAACTGGACCAGCTGGTAGGAGTCGGCGAAGAACTCCGTGTTAAGATCACTGACCAGATTCAGTTGTGCCGCATCTACACTATCCAGCAATCGGCCCCTAATGGATGACATTGAGGTAGACTTCATGCTGTGTAAGGAGGATTTAACTGGCTTCTGGACCCTGCGCTGTGCTATTTTCATCTTCAGGATATTGACATTCATCTTCAGGGTATCAATTAACTGAAAAAGGCACAAGAGATAACAGGGTAACAAGAACCTCCTGTAGCAGAAAAAACCAAAAGGAGAGAAAAGAATATAAACGAAACAAATAAAGTGTGTTAGTGTGACGGATAAGTGTAATGTTTTATGATCATAGCTACCCCATCCATTTCCCAATAATAAAATAAAAAAAGTTTTATTTTTTATTAAGCATAAAATTGCGTATATTTCTTAAACTCAATTTACAGATTTCTCTTTTGTTACACTCTTTATACAAGTTTGAATCAGAAAATATATATGTTTATCTTTAGGGGTAATAGAGTTATTATTGTTGAAATTCAATTTAAGGATTTCATCTTGCCACATACATCTACGTAACTTATTTACTCCAGCTAGGTCAGATAGAAACGCTTTAACATAAGGGAATTAATACATATAAAATTACGATAAATCACAAAAATGTTTCGCAAAAATTTCTGCTACAATTAACGCCTACTAATCAATCAGCTTGATACGTTTGCACAATGATACTCAACGCTAAAAAATATACATTTCTCTATACCTCAATGCTAACTGCAATATAGTAAGGCCTTGGCTAGTGACAAAGTTAAAGCTTACTCGTATAAAACTCATGTCGACACTAATTGGTGCTTCCCTAAGACCCAAAACAAAACAAAGAACAGAAAACAAAATGTGATATTCTTAAAATGCAAGCCGAACTTAAAGCTGGCGCTATCTTTTGATATGAACAAATGTCGTTTTAGTCCAGATTGAAGCTTTATTGTACATTCGTTTGATAGACGCTCAGTTGGTCATTGTTTTGGAAATAAAAAATATACAGCTATGGTTATATATATTTAAGATATATATGATCTATATATGCAGGCCCTAGTCGTGGTCAGAGGACCCCCTTGCATGGGATTAGGATTACGTATAAAACAAAGAAAACAATGTTTGCAGAACAATTGCGATTCACAGTTTGCTTTTCCCCCGTCTCGGCCACATTTTTGGTCGTCAGCTGCGCCTTCCAGCGCCATTGGCCAATCCTAAGAGGCGGTGGCCTGGACGCTTTGGACACTCTGCACCGTCTGGACACCCAGTCCCGCCGAGCGCACCTCGCGCACATAGCAGTCGCGGCAGACGCGCACTGCCTTGGTCAGTCCGTATTTGGGCAGCGGAGCAGAGGCGTTGGAGCAGACGCCGCAGAAGACGCCGCCGCAGTTGCGGCAATGGTGACGCCGGCGGAAGGCAGTGAAGGGCGTCTGGCAGGCCATGCACCGCGGTGCCTTTCCATCGGGGATCCAGGCCGGCGGCGAAAGCGTGGCCGAGGCAGTCGTTGCCGAGGAGGGCATCTGGGTTTCGTTGTTGCTCTGCAGTCGTCGGCGATTGCCGCTCCTGGCGCTCACCGGGGAATTCTGTTCGGAGCTGGAACTGGTGGAGGAGGCACTGGAGGGCGTGTTGCTGCCCACGGAATTGTTGCGCTGCCGCTGCAACTGGATCTGCAATTGCTGTTGCTGCTGCTGCTGCTCCTGCTGGTGCAACTGAGTGCTGCTGCTGGTGGCCGTGCTGGCTGCCTCCTGATCGCCGAGACTTCGGCTGCGCGTCACGTGCGAACGACTGGTGGCCATCGTTGCTCCACTGGGACTGCCACCGCCGGTCTGACCCGCCAGATCGATGGTATTGTTTCGCTGCATGCTGGCGCCGGCGGAATGGCGCTGGCCAGTGGCCTGGCTGCCACCGACGGCGCTGAACACATTGTCCAGCTCGGGATTCACCTCCTCCGCTGAGTAAATGCTTTGGTTAGAGCCGGCGCTCTCCTGTATCACATCGTTCTCGGAGGCCCGGAACTCGAAAAGTTCCGACTCCTTTGTCTTTTCCGGTATGTCGATCTCCTCCTGGGCGGACGACATGTTCATGAGGAACACACTGCGCAGAATCTGGCGCAGATCGGAGGCGAAGTTCGTTTGCAGTTGGTCGGCCACTCCGGCAATGCAGACAAACAGGCGGTGCAGCAGGTTTTCGGTGCTCCTGTGGGTCAACCAAGTTATAAGTGCAATAATGGTACAATACATTACTACTGTTTGTCACTTACTTGAACTTTAGGCGTGCCGTTGTGTTGCGCATGGCCAGCGACACATCGTCGGACAGCGAGGACGCGGCACTGGTATCGCCGCTGGCCAGGGTCTGCTCCCTCTCCGCGGGGTTCGAGTCCACCTCCGATGCCTCCAGGCTGCAGCGTTTGCGACCACTGCGCGTTGTGCGGTGCGGATGCGGCTGCCTGTGCTGATGTGAATGATGGTGATGGTGGTGATGATGGTGGTGGCGCTGGTGATGGCGGTGACTGTGACTCTCCCGATGGCGTCCGCTCGGCACAGCTGGCTGCTGTTGCTGCATCTGCTCCTCGGTCGCCTTGATTGTCGTGGGCTCGGCTAGGGGATCGGTGTCGCTGCTCGGCAGGCGCAGCCGCTGCAAGGTGCGGGTGGCCGCCAGCATGGCTGCACTTGTGCTGGGCTCGTCCTCCTCCTCGTGACCCAACCGTCCCGGCTGCTCGCCCGTTCCATACTCATCATCTTCGCTGGCCACGAAGTTGTCCGTGAGAGGAACCTCCTGGGGCTGCAGCAGATTGCCCAGATTGGTGTTGGGTATGAGGTAACCCGAGGCACAGTCCGCCGCCACGATGTCCTTCAGCAGATTCTCGTCGTCGCTGCTATCCAAATCCTCCTCGTCCACCTCAATATCGTCGTCCTCCTCGTCCTCATCGTCGCCGTCGCTCCAGTCAGCCGGTGGATTCGTCGAGCTGGTGGCCGCCGACGAAGTGGAGGCTATCGAGTGCGAGGGCGTGGGAGAGGGGGCGGGCGAGGCGGTGGGCGTGCTGTTGGGCGACAGCGACAACATGGACGGAGAGCGCAGCGTAGCTTCTTCCGCTGCGGGATTGGTGCTACTGTTGCTGTTACTGTTATTGTTGTTGTTGTTGTTTCGCTGATCCACCAGCCGCTCCACAGTCCTGTGGGTATTTGTTGTACCCGTGTTGGTGCTACTGCTGCTGTGATTATTGTTGCTGCTACTGTTGTTGTTTTGGCTGCCGCTTGTTGTAGGATTGGAGCTATGCTCCGGACTGGGCGCCTCAATGCTGCTCGAGCCAAGTGGCACCTGATATAAAAGAAGAATATTTATAAAATAAAAATGTTTAGATTGCTTAAATTCCCAACCCACCTTGGTGTTGATATCCTCGTTGGTGCACAGCAGCTTCTCCAGTTGGTACAGTTCCTGGTTGTTGAGGTTGCGCAGGAGATCGCGGATTTTTATGAGGATTGTGCGGAAGGGACGGAACATTTCCGACAGTTGATCGCCAGGCATATCCATGTTGAGTGGCCCTTTGGCATAGACCACCAAACCAGCAACGATGGCCAGCCGTGGAATGGAGAACATTAGGCCGGGATCGAAGGCATCCACCATGTCCTGATCCAGCAGACCGATCTTCAGAGCCCGCTGCAGGGTCTCCGAGAAGAGCACGCCGATCCACTGCTGCATCTCGTACTCATGGCGGGATTTCACCTGCACCATGGCACTCACATAGCTCAGCTCGAATTCGGCAAACAGCCGATCGAAGATTTTCAGACTTTCGTAAAGCTGCTCCGTGGTGGAATCATTCAGGTCGAGGTGCAACGTTTTGCTGTTGGGCACGTTGTTCTTTAAACACTGGTCCCGCAGCAGAACGCGGACATTGCCCAAGCTTTTGGTCACGGCTTGGGCCAGGGGTCGCATCTCCTTGCTCTCCGCCTCGCGGTTCATGATCGAGGATCCAGCTGCAAGGCACTCGGCACCGAACCACAGCTGTCCGGCCAGATTCTCCTGGAGCACTTCCTCGGGGAACTTGGCGCGGAAGGCACGCGGATCTCGATCCTCGCCGAGCAGCTCCTCCATGATCAAATTTGTGATGGCCAGCACTTTGTCCTGTCGACAAAAAAGTTGATTAGATAACCTTATTTAAATTCGAACATTTAAAGAACCCGTTTTAAATATACTTTTCCTGAGACCCACCTGATTCTGTCGCAGTCTGCTGACCAGTCTGGTGCATCGATCCGGTTCCGCTCGTCCATCGAAGCTGTCCAACTCGCTGGCCACCGCTGTGAGAGATCGATCCGCATGAAAGAAGCGGGCCAGAAGCGATTTGTCATCAGCCTGCAAAAGTTAAGTGGAGATGCAATTCGGATGAGTAACTGGTCGTAGATAAGAGGTACCCCATTCAAGGCTCCCCCAAACTGAGCTCATAGCAGCTTATCGTTTCCCGAGTGCAACAAATTGTAATGGGAAATCGCTGAACTTGAGGGATCGTGTGACAACTGCAGTTGTTGGTTGAATGGGGGAAGGGGGAGGGTGGTGTTGGAAGTACACACGATTGCCGATGGCGATAAGGGTGACTCAACAAGCCACTAAACACGTAGACGCTATCATCCAGGCATACAGACGACCGGCTTAATTAACACAGCTAATTTTCGTTGATTTCACAACAGATCCACAAATCACGTATGGAAGTATTGGGGACTTACAGTTGCGACCAACATAATAAATCAGAGTGTGTTCAACTCATGTTCTAAAATAAGTTATTTCTTTCTATAAACGAATTATATTTTATACAATTAAGGCATAATCTGTCTTTATAAAACATTTGAACTGTGTGTTATCTTTACTGGTCAACAAACAAGTATTAAAAGAGATCATTAAAAAATTCCTTTCTTTGGAATATTTTGTTATTAGGTTTACTGATAAAAATTGGCTTTGATTTTATAATCTCTGTTTATAAGTACTTAGTTCTGGTACTATTACTTTGTTCGCTGTTGTAAGATCGCCGCCATCGATATCGCAATCTGTGCTGTAAGCTGATACTACGAATAACAATTTTATGCCTCATATAAGAAACAGCGAAGAGGAAGCAGCCAACCTATCGGGATGATGCAATCTTAGATGAGCTTTTTCCCAGCCAACATGCAACATACAAGTGGGCTAAGCTGCAATGTGCCTGAAATCTCAATGATCCATTAAATCACGTGGCTCTATTTAAGCTGGGCTGCCAGCCCCAACAAATCGCACGAGATTCACCAGACAAAAAGCGAAGAGAGCAGCGCGATAAAGCGAGTTATCATCAGTTGAACTTGTTTTCACCGGGCTTTTGTTTGAGTGGTGTTGGGTTTCGCATATGGTTGTATGTATATACATACATATGTATCTGTATCTGCTCTGCTTAAATATTAAAGCGGCAAGAGCAGCTGGCCGTGGTGGAAAGGAAGCAAATGCACGAAACGAAATGTGTTTATTATAAAGGTAAACACGTCGAGTCAAAAGCGTTGACTCTCCGCCTTCAAAACTGCGCAGTTTGGCAGGTTTATCGCTGGGTTGTGAGGCATATAGTCAGTGAGCCGGAGGTCCGAGGTGTTGGCGGCAGTCCACGAAACTTTAACTCGCATTCGAGTACGAATATACTAGCTATAGCTGGCAAATTTTTGTTCAAGGGAAATTTGTGCCACAACAAAGACTAATTGCGATACCAGTTAGATTAGAAGGCAGGGGAAAACCACAAGAATATAGGTCTTAATACTTAAATATTCCTCAAATTAAAGTAATTGGCCATATTAGGTATTATAAGAGAAGACTTTTAGATGAGGTTCTACACTCGGAAAAAGACAAAATAAAAATGTAACTAGATCTTTTCCATTACCAATAAAATCAACATCAAATATTTGAGTTCTTGAAAATGTATAATTACTTATATATTTCATATGATTTTTTTCTGTGTAGAGTTACGCCATGAAATAAAAAAAAAGCAATAATGATTCCATATAAGCGAATGCAATGAATCACCCCACGCGATTCAATGAATCGATGCAGAATAATATCGTATTTGTTTTTTACATTTCGTCATAGGCCCAAGGGTAAAGTTTGTTTTCTTTTTTTCTGCTTTGCCATTTGTTTACACAACAATTAAATGGGCAAAGCTCTAAAAATGTTTGAGGTCCAATTTGGCTTGTGTTTTGTTCTCTGTTTCAGTCGCACGGCTTGTGAGCAACATTATGGGGAATGGCATAGCCGCAGCAAAAACGAATAAGAAATCCAATTGAGAATTATAAATTATATAAATTGAGCAAGGCCATGCGTAAATAGTTCAATGACTGCTCAAGAAGCCGCCTCACCTTACCGCTTAGCCCCCCTGCCCAGCGGAATTCCCGTTCTCATTCCCATATTCTTTTGGCCGTCATGACGACGCTGGCCAAAACGTTGTCGACGCCAGCCACTTTTTGTAAGTGCCAGTCGTTGTAGCCATTAATTAGCGTCGCAATTTGGAAACAGACTGGATGTGAGGGGAAAGGACTGGGGTTTCCATATATGAAAAGGTTCTATATAAAGTGGATAAGAAAAGTATATACATAGTTGATAAGCAAAACACAGCAAAAAAATATTCTGATAATTGGTTAAGCTTTAAATATTTAAAAAAATTAGATAAAGCTTTATTTATAAATGACTGGCATTAAATAAAATGTGTCAAACATTTTCAAATACTGTTTCTCACTGTAAATTCGCATTCTCTTAGCCTTGAAGCTTATAACAAATTTGTATCAAAAGCCATTTACATGCCTCATAAATACATAAAATATTTAGCTAAATCTCAAATGTAATTAAAGAGTTGAAAACCCCGGCAACAGCAGCTGACAAAAAGGCAAAAGTTAAATGGTAATTAAAAATTTTAAGCTTGTTTCGACCCAAGCGGAACGGAGAGAAGTTGTGGAAGGTATTACTCCAAGGATTTCGCTTCTTGCGGAGCTAAACATTTGTACAGTTTGCAACAGAGAGGAAACGGAGCTTCGTGACTTATTAATGGGGAATCACAATGAGGCTCTGTTTGCAACAGTCGTGATAAAATATTAAGTACTTTTGTTTGCACTTCATACTCCGGCTAAATTCAGGTAGGAAGATAACAAACATTTGAGGTATTGATTCGCAAGCTGAATTTAACAAAAAGGCATTTGTTGTCAGCAAAAGTTCTTTGACACTGTTTACACCAAAAACAGCCGCACCTTTGGATTAAGATCTGACTTTGTTAATATCTGAGCACATGTGTGTTTATCCGCTAAGTTATTTGCATAACGGCTGGCTGGAAACTGCCATTGTCAAGTTTTTTAATTGTTGTTTCAACTGGTTTGTGTTCAATCAACTAATTAAGGGTGAGTAACCGCTCCCCTCATCTGTGAGCAAGTTGCTGTTTACGGGCGATAACAACACACACATATAGACGTTTAGAGATATAGAGCCATATCGCATATGGTGGAGAAACCATATTTGCTGCTCAACTTGATGTGGGTGAGAACCACTTTCAATTCCATTAAAATACAAAAACAAATTACGCCAAAGCGAATGTTAATTGCAAATCTTAAAGGGAAGTATTGGAGCCGACACTGAAGAATTACGGTTAACGCCTGCTATTAAGAGCAATGAGATATGAGTTCAACTTTCTTTTAACAAACTGAAAAAAATAACTATTGATTTTGTTTATTTATGAAAAAAAAAGTAATAAAAAGTGGCAACTAATAGCGATGATTTACTCATATTAAAACAATTAATTACTAACTTTAAAAACAGTTTAAAGTTGAGTAAATGACCGACTCAAAATGAAAATAATTGCTGTCATTTTGTGCAGCTGACCAAAAGGACATCTGCCTGACGTCACAAATGTCCGTTGTTGTGGCCTCGACACGAGCAACAGGCGGGTTTTCCCACCCTGTCCGCCGTATCCTTGACGGCAGCCAGGGCAAGGACACAGACGAGACAGCCTGCCGTTGTATCTATCTATATACATGAGTATCTGGCCCTATTTGCCCCCAAGGCATTCGCACTCGAAGGGCGATGTCAGGACGAGTTTGCTGACGCAAAGGATTCGCTAGAAGCACGCACTTGACATTGAATATTCGCACGATTCTTGTTTTTTGACAGCTGCTGGCGGCTTTCGCCTTTATTTCAATTAGACATTTGCCAATTGAGCAGCGAGTCTGAAAATGGCGAATAAGGTGGGTCTTAGGCCAAATGTCACGACCCCCTAACGATTCAATTTGTCCGTCCGTAAGTCAGTTGGTCCCGGCACCTGCTGTCATCGGTTAATTGAGATACGTCTGGAAAAATACCTCCAGAGCTGGGAGCTACCGATCAATTGAATTCAATTTCTGCACAATTCCCGCATCTCAAACTGCAAATTAAGCGACTAATTTAATTGGCTTAAATTTCAAATATCAATTGCAAGTGCTAAAAGTGGCGGGCTCCTCGTAATTTCCCATCTAACAACTCACAGTCAATAGATGAAAATAAATTTCACGTGAATTCGCCATGCGACATAACATTAGTTCCAAATCAAATCATTTTAAAATAGAAGTATAATTCAAAACATGAATTCGATATGGTATGCAATTACGTATAATTATTACGAGTATAAACAATTTGCATTCGAAATGGAAATTCACAAGAAAAGGCGAGTGACGGTCTTAACATTTTGGAAATCAGAACACGTTAAGATAAGAGAAAGATAATTGACTTTTACTGTTATTAACCTGCAATAAAAATATCAGTTAATGCGTCGCAGTGAAAACAATGAAAACAATTGCTCGGAGTGTGAGAAAAGCATATAGTAGGGGAATGTCGTCAAGGTTGGACAGTTGTCAGGGTCGGACACTTGCAATTTTTCTAATAAACCAACTATCGCCATCTGTGTGCGAATGTGGTATTAATTGTTATCACTGTGGGAAACTTTTCATCCCTAGCCGCATCCTATAACTGTTAATTTTCCTGTTTTGTTGACATAGTGTCGTGATAGTGAAGAAAAAAGTATTCGAGAACGCGCTAAAAAAGTGGCATAATTCAGCGGAAAATATGCCATCCGCAGGGTAAGTTTAAAAATACGTTAAGTGGTTCCCCCTTAACGAAATCCTAAAAAAAATTTGTTCTAAATAAAGCGATTTGGTAGTTATGTTGTGCGGTAGGGTTATGACTCATGTTGTCAGGGTTGGACACTTTTTGTTGTCAAGGTTGGACACCCTTGGTTTTTTCCCTTTTGTCAGAATATTTTAATTTTTCCAATGTTTTTTACAGTTATTACAGGGTAATTAATTACTTAATTCAACAAAAAGTGAAATAATTAATAA